CGAGGAGGCCACCGTGGCGTGGAAGCCGCCTCGCAGCGGCTTAGGGTTCAGGTTAGAGTTTAGGGGTGACCGGTAGGATCCAGGGCTTGGGGCATTTGGGCCGTTTGGGGTTTAGGGGTTCAGGTTGAGAGTTTAGTAAGGGCTTATAAGCAAGGGCTCGAGAAGGTTCTTCAAGGCCTTGAGAAGGCTTCGGTAAAGGTCTTATGCACGTTTAGAAAGGGGTCTGTCTGTAGAGTTTTTAGGACTCAGCGAACCTAGTCTGCTTTACTTCTGTGGGGTTTCTGGGCTTGAGCTATTCTGGTTTACAGAGTAGGATAGCTTGGGGGTTTTGGGTTACGGTTAGGGGTATAGGGGTTGAGGGTTGGAGGGTTTTGTTAGGTCTGGGGTCTCGGAGCTCTGGGGTCTCGGAGCTCCCCCGCAAGAACGCGCTATCGCTTGTTGCTGTAGTTTGCTGTTCGTACAGTTTCGTGTGTTGGCCCGCAGGATGCCTACAGAGAGGGGGGCAACTTGCAAGTTAGTTCTTCTAATCCGATAGCGGTTTAGGGGTTGAGGTTTAGGATGGTGTAGGGTCCAGGGTTTACGGAACAGCCACTGCGACAAGAAACGGATCAGTTTAAGTCGAACGAGGGGCTTGCACTCTGGATATCGGGAAAGTTCTGCCCAAAAGCCAACCTCGTCCGAGCGAAACTCTGCCCTACGTTCACAGAGATCCTGCACACAAACCCTGAAACGAAAGGCTACTGATACTGTCGACCAGGAAACCCCGAGCCCCAAATCTGCACCACCCCGACAGCTCAGAACGAAAGATGCACCATGAGCCCCTGACTCATCTCTTACATGGGAGTAGCGATTGCGCTTCCGGTGCCCACCACCGCACCTGACATCAGAAGTTTGAAATGGGCATAGAGCTTCACAGTTGGAGCTCAGCGCTTGGGGCCCTGAACCTTATTACGCAAACCCTGCCTAGTAGGGTTTAAGCTCTAGGGTAAGCTCTATGCTCTTAGTCTACCCCAATCTACCCAAACCCTATACACAAAAGCCTACATTTGAGCTACTCTCACGTCTAACCCTGGCTTGCAGGAACGGATCCTCGCAGCTTAGCAAAATGACCCTCGGAACCCAGACTTCGGATATCCGATATCTGAGGGACCTGGTCATGCGCATCCTTGGTCTTCCTATGTTCTCCACTGTAGTTCCCTGCTTGGCTTAACCAATTAAATAGCTATATATATATATATACATGTACATGCATATAACTATATTATATATATATATATATATATATGTAGGACACTAAAAGGTACCCCCAAAAAAAGGAACTAGAATGGAGACTACACGTAGGGCTGCCTTCATCTCAGATAGCAGCTAGGGACCTTTACACTCGAGAGGGCTTGACACTGGAAAAAGCCTCTGCAGACATCGTTCTTCACTGCTACATCCATGGATTCGGTTTAGGATTTAGGGTTTAGGGTTTAGCGTCTCAGTAGATGTAACTCCTTATTCCGGAGACCACCTAAAAAAACAAATACATGTCAAACTCCAAAACCCTAAACGTCAAACCTTAAACCGTTAACCGTGAGCCCGAACCCCCGCATTGATGAACCGTGAACCCGAAAACCCCACCCACAAAACCCTAAACTCCAAGCCCTAAAGCCACAAACCCTAAATCCCTAAAACGCCTAAGCCGTACAGCCCCTAATACCCGTAAACTCGAAGTCCAAGCCCCAAACATTACAGCCCTAAATCCTCAACACCCTCCCTAAACCCTGAACCTTAAATCCTGAACCTTAAACACGAAACCCCTAAAACACCCAGGGCTCCGACGGAACCGGCAGTGCCCCACGGCGGCACTCCGACCAGGCCCCCCAAGCCGCCCACTCACAGACCTGAGGGCTCTCTGAGGAGAAGGTTTAGGGTTTAGGGCTTAGGGTTCAGGTTTAGGGGTTATAGGAAACTCCAGAAAGTTGGAATATGGTTTCATGGTAGGATACCCTATAATTTACCATAGAAGGGTTAGGATAATCATATTCCAACTTTCTGGCTTTTACTTTAGGGTTTAAGGTTTAGGGTTCAGATTTGGGGTTTAGGGTTTCGGGTATTGGTGCATAATAGGGCCTTAGGATTTAGAATTTCAAAGTTCAGGTAAATGATTCGGGATTTAAGGGCTGCTTAAGGCTGAGATTGATTGTGATTATGGTTTTGTCTGCCCGTCGCAGCTGTGATTCTGAAACCGGTATCCGCAATATTGCTGTCCTCATGAGTCTCATTACTACAACTAGCGGCATGGCGAGTACTGTATGGCCTCATCTCAGGTGTGATGGAGGCTCAGGGGTAAAGAACTGTGCAGCACTTCAGGGAATTGAATATTGAAATCCAGGGGCACATGTCGAGGGGTTGTTTCGGGTTTGGGGTTTCAGGTTCGGGATGTGCGGCTTCGGAGGGCATTAAGTGAGCTGTTCTAGGCTAAGACTTTTTTGTGTATCCATGGAAATGCAGCATCTACAATAAACGGTGCAGGTTCAACCTGACCTGATTCATACTTGCAAAATACGAAATACCACAGTTTGACTCACGGCCACCCGAACCCTAAACCTGAAATCCCGAAGCCCTTGAACCACAAACTGAACCCTCCCTCCCTCCCCCCTCTCCCATGATCCCCCTTGCCTGGGCTGCTTGAGTGCAGAAAGCTAACCGACACGACTCCACCTCAAGGCCGTCTCCACCCTGACAGATGGCAGCAGTCGCGGGCTCCGAAAAGTAGGGGCCTTCATAATGAGAATAGAGTTATGGGGCCCATTTTTCTGTAATTATAATAAGGCACCACCAAAATAGCAGAAGTATTTGCTAAGGCCTCTATATTGCAGCCATTAGGGTTTAGGGTTGTTTGTTTCACACCTTTTTCCGACTGCAGGAGTGTAGGTTGAGAAGTTTAGGGCCATTAGGAGCCTTTATATACATCCCAGCTTAGTTTAGGGTTGAGCTTCCAAGCTGGGGATGGCGGTACGTCAGGAGCCCTAATTTGTAGGATCCTCACCTCCTGAACTCTGGGATTCGAAGGTTGACGTGACTACAGTAGAAGCAGCAACAGTATGAACATCGCAGTAGTAGGAGTAGTAGCACCAGTCCGTTAATCCTGAAGCCCTAAAGCCCTGAAGGCCGTGGCCTCGCAGGGCCTCCCGTCGTTTGCTGCCTTGCGCAGTGACGCGGTGAGGGTCTTAAGGCGAATGGGCTCAGGATTTACAGCGTAGGGCTTGGGGACATGCTCGGATCGAAGCCACTTCTCATCGAAAGCAAAAATCTTACCCCCTCCACAGACACCATATATACTACCGTTTTGGTAATGAGAGTATACATGGAGCCTCTGGCATCCTACCCTCCCTCAAGAAGAGACCTTGAACACAAGCCCGACTCTTTTTTGGCGGGCTTCGCCCGGCAAAGAATTCTCTGAATTTCCACATCGGCTTGACTGCTGAGCTGCAGAAGCCTGATTTCGAGGTTGTGGGCTTAGAGTTTAGGGTGTCAAACGGTCCAGTCCTGAATCTAGCTCTTGGGTTTGGGGCTACGGGCTGGAGATTGGAGGCAAATTTCTGTAACGTACTCTGGCCTGTGCCATGTTAACTGAAAAATGTGAAACACTTGTAGTGGAGAGCGCTCGCCGCGCAGCACAGGCAATATGCTCTGTGCAGGTTCGTCGTGCGCTGCAGTGCATACTCAGCCCACGTGGTGCTCTTGCAACGCTCGATTTGAAGTTTGGGAATGAAACAGGGATGTAATTAGGGTTCAGGATACCGCATGTAGCTGGGAAACAAACGAGAATGGGTGGGCTGTCGTCACGGCAGCACGCTTGTCACTTAGACTTATTCTCCGACTGCGCTGGAGCAGGCGTTTGCCCGCTGGGAGTCGCAGCGTCTGCGCAAACCATTTTGGAATGCACTCTGTTCTCCGGGTGCTGCGGCTAGCCAAACCCTCTGCAGATCCGTGTCTAATCGCCAAAGCTGCGGTGGGATGGCATCTGACATAACGATGTCAGAGTTTTGAAACAACTGATCTTACTAAACACCAAAGACCCGAAACCCTAAACCCCAAAGCTCCGAGACCTTAAACCACTAAACCCTGGCTTAAGTCATGAATCCCCTAAACCCTAAACCCTAAACCCTAAACCCGAATCCAAAGCCTGAGCCGCTACCGCAGAAAGCACGGCGTTAAGTCTTAAGGCATGTTCATAATCCTCAAAAGCCGTGAAGCCCAAACATCTATAAGCCCCATGCGCATCGAACCAAGCCCTGAATCTACAAACCCTAAACCCAATTCCACTTACAAGAACCCTGAACGCTAAATGTGCGAAATAAGCGGATCTAGGTGGACATCGACATAGACATGGATCGAGTCACCGCAGCTTAGACGAGGCAGGGGTTTGCTTGGCATATTTTCACCAGGGTTTGGGGCGCTCTGTTTCTTTCGTCAGTCTTCGTGGGTGGGAGGTGGATGTAATTGTTGGGGGTCTCTTGTTCTTCTGTTTCTCTTGGATTCCCTATTCATCATAGGGACCCTTAGGGGGGGGTAGGGGGAGGGCGGTAGGGGACTATACTTCCTTAAATAAGCATTCTAAGTCCTTATTATACTAGTAGGTGTTAAGACCCTTACCCCCCTCCCCCCAACCCCCTAAGGGTCCTTATGATTTTCAGGGCCGTGGTCTGGGATTTAGGGCCTGCAGCTTCATAAGTTTAGGGCTCAGGCTGCCACAGTTTCGAGGGACTTGTTAGGGCTTTGGGTTTACGACTTGGCAGAACCCCCAAAATTGCGGTCGGATGAAATAAAGGCCGCACTAGAACTGGATTTTGGGTTCTATTGGAGTATACAACATATTGGAGTATACTAGACAAGCACTCTGAGAGGATACCACTACTAAGCATTCAATATCGGGGCATGCTAGTACAAATTATTCAGATCTCTGTAGTGTCCCGAACCCCTCGCTGGCCACCAACTCTCACCGAGCATGGTCACGCGACCAGGCTCTTGGTGGACGTGGTCATTCCAGTGGAGGAGGTGTGACTGTGGCGGTGAGTCACGCGGTTGCCTGTTGCCAGGTGCTCCACATTTCAATTTAGGGTTCTGGAGTCAGACGGGGCTCAGGAGGGGTTTCGTGTTTGCGGCTGAAGTGGCGTTGGGGCCCGGGTTCTTGTCGTGGCATCCTGCTTAACATTACGTGAGACAGGAGTCTGAAAGAGGTCGGTATTCTAATCGGGAATGGCTGTGCCGGCGTACATGTAGGTATGTCGTTATGTACGCATGTATTTATGTATGCATGTATGTATGGTATTGTAATGTATTTTATGGTATGTATGTATGTATTGTATGGATGTACGTATGCAAGCATCCTTATTGCTTCTGAATTTCATCTTGTTGTTTTTGACTAGATAGATTGCTGGATGGTGTGCTTAGAAACACTTTGTTTAGCAAACTTCTAAATAGTGAGATACTCAGTGCTCTCCGTCTGTCGGTGATGCTGCTCTTAAGTGATCCAGCCCTCCGGCCCTCAAGAAGACCAAGATCATATCCGCTTACAGCCACCTTGCAGTAGCCCTCGTAGTTCCCCAATAGTTAAGCCTTATAGTTGCGTATGTAAAGTTGCCGTTGAGGGCAGCATATCACAAGATGTGCCTCCCTGGACAGCACGAACCCCCTACCAGATCTGCCTCGCTCGTGATTCATCCACATGCCGGTGATGCTGTCGTTCTTTTCCTGGCAGTGGGTTTAGGGTTTAGGGTTAATTATAGGATCCAGGGTTCAGGGTTTAGGGTTCAGGGTTTAGGGTTTAGGGTTCAGGGATTAGGGTGTGGATCCTAGCGTTTCGGAGCCCTGTCACGAGGAATCCGACTACGCAAGAGTCCTCAAGTCGGGCTCCCAGTGTTTCTTCCCATGCTCTTGGAATAAAGGGTCCCTACTTAGAGGATTATGGGACTTAGTAAGTAGGTTATAATTGGGGTTATAAGTCTTCTAAGTGGGGTTATCCTAATTATAACTTACTTATAACCCTACTTACTAAGTCCCATGAGCCTTCGAGTAAACATTGGGATCCTGATGCGTGGGAGGTCTTCGAATCAGAATCCTACCGTTTCAGGGCCTTTCTGTACTAGGATACCCAGCAACCTAAGAATAAAAAGGCCTCTCTTTTTGGTATTGGGTAACTTATAAGGAACCTAGGAATACAAAAAGGGTATAAGGGTACTACTGGGCATCCTAGTGTATACTCGCGATCCCAACTTGCTTGGGCTTTTGGCCTGGAACGTACTCGTGGCCGGACTTATACTCTAATCCTGATGAGGAGCCGCCAAAATGGTATAGGTAATTGTTAAGGCGGCTATATTAGACCCTACACGCTAAACTCGAAACCCAAACCCCACAAGCCCGTAACCTTACACCCTAAACCTACTATTTGCTTAAGAACCCCCAAAAAATAAAAACATGTATATTCCTTATAGGGATAATATAGGGATTATCATTTTCTATTTTTTGGGTGGTTCTTAAGCAAATAGTAGAAACCCTGAAGCCTACTCTCCTCACAAACCTCAACTGAACCCAGGAATCACAGTGATTTCGAAGACCTACGGTTGATGATGTAAATCCTGCATTACCTTAAGGACCCTCAACCATGGGAATTATGGTATGCTCCTTATTATGGGTAATGCAAGATTTATATCATCAACCGTACTACCGAGCGCTACGGCGATAGGACCTTTAAGGTTTCGGGCTCAGGCTTCAGGAGTCAGGGTTTAGGGTTGAGGGTTTCCCGATTTTCCTGTCTCCTCTTCGACTTCTTCAGCCCCTACTATGCGGGCTGCAAGACTGTGGATAGAGATTTGGGGGTATATTGTAGCAACTTGCAGTATTTCTAACTACATACTGGGGACCGCAAGGGCATGATCCAAATACTTAGTGGAGTTTAGGCTTCGAAATCTTCACGGCACGCACAGAGGCCTGCTACCGATCCGAAAATTGCAGGATCCTTTTGCTAGTTAAAGGGGTCCTAAGCAGATGGATCCCTGTTCCCTTAAGTAGTAAATGCCTGTCTTCAAGGTCTCCTAAACAGTAGGAACCCGATCTTGAGGACACTGCAATAGTAGGTAAAACGGCCCTGAACAAAAACACTGCCGCAGAAAGGACGGTTGCGAGAGCCCAGCTATGATTGAAAGCAGACCTTCTACATCATAAACCCGTGTACAACCCTTGCAAAGCCTACACCCCAAACCCTAAGTCCTAAACCTTCGACCCTAAATCCTAAACCCTCGACCCTGAATACCCTAAATCCTCAACCCTAAGTCACGGCTTTGCATCGGGGCGGCGTTCTTGGACAGCGCGTTGAAGGACTTAGCCCGGACGATGAGATCTTCCAGCTTGGCCTGACATCTAGAGACTCTTATGTGACTGGTTGTCAAAATTATGCCCCCATTTTGGGTAACCTAGATATTAGGTGCCGTACTGTAATAAGGATCCAAAAAGGGACCATAATTTTGACAACCACCCATGTATGGATTGCGGTTTAGGGTGTGGGGTTTAGGAATAGGGTTGTTTTTAGGGATTCAGATTTAGGGTTTGGGGATTAAGGTTTACGGTTTAGGGCTTAGTTAAGGTTAGGGATCAGGGTTTAGGCTTTGGGGTTTACGGGTCGTGGATGCAGAAGGGACAGTTTCAGATTTTGAGCTCTTCGAGCTTCAGGAAGCTTAGTGCCACATGGGTTTGGGGCTAGCTAAAGCTTCCGACCCCCATCCCCATCCTAAACCGTAAACATAGATCATTAAAGCCCGAAAAAGCCCAAAGCCCTAGCCCTAAACCCTTAGTCTAGGCAGCCAGGCCTGAATCTTGACCTCGTCGCTCAAGCCCAGTATCTGGGCACTAAGCCTCCAACAAACCTAAACCATGAGTAGAGTCTACTTGGCCGGATCATGGTTTAGGATTCAGGAGCTAAGGGTTGAGGGTTATCAAAAGCATGATGCTTTGGCCAAGGTGATACCGCGGAGGCGAACCCCGAAGACCATTCACACGCACCCAAGCGTGAGTTTCGGAGTTCAAGGTTTCTCACCACGTAAACCCCCATCCCGAAGCCGCCCCCAAAGCTAATATAGGGGCCTTAGTAATTGGGATAGGGTTTGGGAGCCCATTATACTGTACCTTACGATCAGGAACCCCCCAAAATAGTATTGGAAATTACTAACAAGGCCCCTACTTAAAGGATCATGGGACTTAGTAAGCGGGGTTATAAGTACCTTAATTGAGGTTATAAGTAATTATAAGTATAGTTACCCTAGTTTTAACCCGAGTTACGAAGTCCCATGATCCTCCTTCTAGAACCCTTATAGAACCCTTTAAGGAACCCTATTATAGAACCCTATAGTACCCCTAAGTCCCATGATCCTTTAAGTAGATTGGCGATATCCTTTAAGTGTATTCGTCCAAACAATCAAGGGGTTGGTTTTGAGGATTTTGATCGAGGTCGGCCCTCTGGCCTTCTCGAAACCTGAACTTAGAGAGCCCAATACCCCTTAATTAAGGAATGTAGCTTAAATCATAATATGAGCCCCTATATAATTTAAGCCATATTCCTTAATTAAGGGGTATTGGGCTCTCTGGGAACTTATCCAAGGCTGAAACCAGAACGAGGTCGGGCCTCATCCACGGGTAGATCGCCCCAGCCGGACTCGTCGCCGACCTCCTTCGGCGATGTCTCGGACTCGACTACTTGCGATTGTTATCATTATTGTTTATCACCACTACTAATATTAAATTGCTATTTTTATTGCTTGTACTATTAATATTCTGGCTATCTTTCGCAGCAGCAGCAGCAGCAGCAGCAGCAGCAGCAGCAAGCAGCAACAGCAGCAGCAGCAGCCGCAGCCGCAGCCGCAGCGGCAGCGGCAGCGGCAGCGGCAGCGGCAGCGGCAGCGGCAGCGGCAGCGGCAGCGGCAGCGGCAGCAGCAGCAGCATACTAACCAAAAGTCATCAAGATCGAATGAGAGGCACCATGTTTCCTGCTACGACTCATCGACATCTGTCTTCAATGCAAGCGGCAATTGCGGATGGATATGTACCCGGCGATGGGGCTCCGTACAAAGTTTGTACTCCACAACATGGGCTATCCTCACAGTCCGAGCTTATGCAATACACCCGTTATCCTTCTAAATTTTACATCCAAAACTCTGAACCCTGAAGCCCTACACCCTAAACCCTGAAGCCCTATACCCTGAACCCTAACTCCCAAACCCTAAACCCCTAAACCCTAAATCCCTCTTATCCCCAAAATCCCAAACCCCAAACCCTAAGACCCCTCTCCCAAAAACCCCCCAGGCTGCTTGCGCCTCGACGTGGGCCACGAGGAGGAAGCCGAAAACTTGGAAGTAGCGGAAGATGTCGCCGCCCCTTTCCTTGGCAGAATGGGGATTTTCTTTTCTTAAGCTCCTTTTTCCCAGACGCAAATCCAGCTTCTAAGAATGGGGATTTAGGGTTTAGGGTTTAAGGGGTTTAGGGGTTCAGGGGATAAGGGGTTTAGGGTATAGGCGTTAGGGCTTTAGGGTCTAGGGGTTCAGGGTTTCAGAGTTTAGGGCTTTCGGGGAGTTTAGGGCTTTGGGGCTTTAGGGTGTTAGGGCTTTCGTGGCTCTGGTGCGCTATAGGGGGTAAGGGGCTCTTCGACTGTATGGCTTCAGGGCTTGAGGAGCTTTAGGATAACAGGTTGCAGGGCCTAAGGGTGAAGAGGAATGCTGGCCTTCGAGCGGGGTCTTCAGGATTGTTATTTAGTAACAAGTCGGGCTTCGAGGTTCAGGGTTTAGGGTTTAGGGGTCAAGTCGTTGAACCCTCTTTTCCTCCTGCCCACGCCAGGAGTCGCAATGCCATGGATGGCTGAGGGAGGTTCAAGTCTAGGGTGCAAATTTTAATTGAGATTTACGGATGGGCGTGCCCCCTACGGTTCAGGGCTTATGGGTTTAGAGGTTTAGGATTCATGGATGGTTGTGCCCCCTTTCTGAGCGGGAAGCCAAGACGAGATTGGCGAAGATGGCCGCGTCCACACCTAAGCAGATGGCTAAGAGCATCGGGTTTAGGCATCATTTGGGTTTAGGGCCTTGGGTTTAGGGCTGAGGGGCATTATTAGGGTTTAGGGTTTGGGATTTCGAGTTGTGGGAGTTGGGTTTAAGGTTCAACGCTATAACAGTTCCCACCAGGCACGACTAGAGGCGTATGATGGGACCCGAATTTCCTTCCGAAAGGGCTGTTTCTAAAGAGGATTGACCGAAGCCGAAGCCCTACAACAAGAATCAATACGAGTCACAAAACCTGACTTTCCCTGACAGGAAACCACACGCTGAACCCTACGCTACGTACATATATGTTGGGGCATCAAGTTTCCGGAAAACCCAGCTGTCAGGCCCAAACCTGGGGTAGAGTTGAGGGGACTGAATTACCTCCTGGCTGCCAACCGTCCGCATGAGATACTCAGCAACCCTCAACTCTAAACCCTAAACCCCTAAACCCCGAAACCCTAAACCCCTAAACCCTAAACCCCAATAGCCGCCAGATCGCTGTTTCAAGTCTACGACCTGTTACGGTTTCTATCCATTTCTGAGCAGTGCAGGAACCGAACGAAGTAAGCTACTTGGGAAACCCGTCTTCGCAGGGCCCGAAGAAAGTCCGTCGAAATGTCAAGTCCAACTTTTGGAAGGCGAACTTCTGACGTGGCACCGAAATAGTGGCACGTCGCTTGAGATGTAAGTTGCCCACGATGCGTCCACCTGCACAGGTTATTTTCGAATGTTTTATTGTCACTCCAAGTGCCAGTCAACTCGAACAAACCACGAGGGGAACATCAACTCAAGATCGCGGTAGTTTTTTAGCTATGGCTAGCAGGCCAATTGATAGGCAGTGGTGGAGGTATGCAGGGAGCGAGACTGACGAGATCTTCATGTAATTTCGCAATGCCAACCGCTCGCACTACGCCCCGTTCTTGATCTTGTACGGTCAGAGTCAACAAGGTGAGCAATCAACCCGACATCTTTGATGCTACGACTCCGAAGCATCTCTCTTGCCTCGCCCAGAGGCCGATTTCCGAGAGACGGGTCTCAGCGTGGAGATGAACTCGGTCCTACCAGCTCGGGTGGTTGCAAAACGGACTGAAATATGTTGATGAAACATTTGTGAGGCTTTGCGGATAACTTTTCGGCTTTAGGTTTTTTGAGGCCGGGGGTGTAAGGCTTCCGGGTTTCAAGTTTTGGATTGTGGAAAATCGGTACATGGCGGCCTTCCGAAAACAAGCCCCTAGTCCCAAAACCCTGCACCGTAAGCCTTAACCCCAAGACCAGACTATAGGGGCCTGAATAATTACAATAGGGCTTCGGGGCCCATTATACTATAATCAGAATAGGAAACCCCGCGAGATAATGTTGCTCATTATTTATACAGGAAATTGACCACGATCTCCCACCTCCGCCTCCGACTTTCCAGAGGGCTGGTACACCATGTCCTTGTCAGGGTTTAAGGGGCAATTTAGTGGCCGTAATGCTGTCAACAGTTTTGGGGCATGTTTTACTACAGTTACAGCAAGGAACCCCCAAAACAGTATAGGTGATTATTAAGGCCCCTATATCAGGGTTTAGAGTTCAAGGTTTCACAGGGGTTCACGGGGTTTCATAGGGCTTCATAGGTTTTCATAGCATAAACATCGATCAGGTGTCAAAAGTGTTTACAGAGCTTGCGGCCCACCCTAAACCCTAAAACCTAAACCCTAAACCCTAACTTTAAAGCTATGTAAGGGATGCATGCAGGGTTTAGGGTTTTTGCGGCTCTAGTGTTCAGGGCTTGTAATGGGTTCCAGGAAATGGTCCTTCCGGTCAGAGTGAGACTTCTCTCAGTTTTCCATCTTGCATGTTCCATGCGGCCGATCCCCGAAATCTAAAACCCTCAGCGCATAGCTCTGCACCCCCCTGAACCCTATCTGGCCCAACCTATCCTGCAGGCGAAGCAATAAGCCCTAAGATGAGAGACTAGCAGTTTGATAACCTAGCGACTCACTGACTGCATTGGCAGGACTTCGACTTCACCCTTGGGCCTCAGACCGTTGGAAAAGAAAATGCTCGGAGCTTCAGGAGCCCAAGCATCCCTTTTGGGCCCAAGGGGGGAGGGAATATCGGGGCCTTAAATATTATATTATATTATATTATATTGTATTATATTATATTATAGTATATAACAAGGTTTTGGGGCCCCCCATTGTACTGAAAATTAGAAATGAGGAACCCCCAAAATACTGCTGATGGACAAAATCCTGCACTGGCACTACCCATTATAAGGAATATGCCATAGTTCCCATAGTTTAGAGTCCTTAGGGTCATGCAGGATTTTGTCCATCAACAGTAGTATTGGCAATTATTTAAGGCCCCTCTTTTAGGGTTTGGATGTAGAAGCCTTTCAGGGGCAAGGTCTGAGGGCCTGAAGCCCGGGCAAGGCGGACGGCAAGCTGTAAGACCCCAAGACTCATCGTACCCAGAGAGCCCAATACCCCTTAATGAAGGAATATGGCTTAAATTATATAGGGCTTCATATTATGGTTTAAGCTATATTCCTTATTTAAGGGGTATTGGGCTCTCTGGGTAGAAACAGCCGTGTTGACGACGACGGCGACCACATCGACAGCAACAGAGACGACAGTCATCACAACGATCGTCAAAGTTGCCACCACCACCACCACCACCACCACCACCACCACCACCACCACCACCACCACATTCAACATCGCCATCATCACAGAGACATTCACCATCGCCATCATCAACATTATCAGCAGCATCATCACCAACTTCATAATCAAGCACCAATGCCGCCACTATCAGCACCCCCCCCCCCTCGACCATCACGTCAAAGCACCTTACCGTTCAGACTATGCCCCACTCGCCATCGCTACATTTATCGTCCTGGTCCCCTCCAGGCCCTCCTCATCATCAACATAATACAAGGGCCGTAATTGGAATAGGGTTTTGGGGCGGATTATACTTTGACTATAATCAGGAACCCCCAAAGTAGTATTGATAATTACTTTGGCGCCAACTTCGTAGCTACTTGGTAGAACCGTAGAACCACAAAACGGTTTTGGGTTTAGGGTTTAAACCCCACAAGGCTATTTGCTGGAATCTGGACCCCGAAACAAGGGGCCCCCCCCCGTCCGACCTTGGACTTCGTGATGTAGAGGCCGTGGCTCACCTGCGAGGCTTCGAGGATCTCTGGGCAGGCAGACTCTCCAAGGTAAAAGGAGGGACCCTTAATAAGGAACCCTAGGTATATATCCTTAATATAGCTGTTATATAACCATTATATAGCCCCATTATAGGGTAGGGGTGCCCATTGAGGTCCCTCCATTTCCCCTTTGAGACTCCCTGCCTTGGGTGCTAAACCCGAAACACTGTGACTAGTCCAAAGCACGCAAGAAAGGATGCAGGGCTGGTTGCCGTTCGCTTGAACCCTACACCCTAAACCCTAAACCGTATCGCTTGAAGATAGGGGCCTGTGTAGTCTGGAGTGTAGGGATATTGAACCGTGCTTTCCACCACTACAGCTCTTGCGGAAAGCCTTACCAAACCCCGTGACGCATTTACATGGCTAATGAATCCCAAGGGCAGTACCCTTAGCCCCTAACCCCCAAACCCCTAAACCCTAAACCCCTAAACCCTAAACCCCTAAACCCCTAAACCCCTAAACCCCTAAACCCCTAAACCCCTATAAAACCTAAACCCCTAAACCCCTAAACCCCCTAAACCCCCTACAAACCCCTTCTGCCTGGTCCGGGAGGAAGACATCGTCGTGAGGAGTACAGAGGCGCTCGCGAAAAGCCAGATGGCAAATCAGGTCCTTTCGGTGGGGATTCTCGCTAAGGAACCTATTCTAAGATACCATAATAAGAAAAAATAAAACCAATAACAACAATAGTAACAAAATTAATAATAATAGTAATAATAATAAATAGTAATAATAATAATAAATAATAATAATAATAATAGTAGTAATAATAATAATAACAATAATAAGAATAATCAGAATAAGAATCAGAATAAGAATCAGAATAAGAATAAGAATAAGAATAAGAAGAAGAATAATAAGAATAAGAATAAGAAGAATAAGAATAAGAATAAGAAGAATAAGAATAAGAATAAGGAATAAGAAGAAGAAGAAGAAGAAAGAAGAAGAAGAATAAGAATAAGAATAATAATAATACTAATAATAGGGATCCTTCCTTCGGGGTGGTGCGCTTTGTTTCTTCCGTGGTCGTGGTTGTTGGCATAGTAGCAAAAGTTGCAGCTGTACAGCTGCAACAGTCGCAGCATCGCCCGAGCCATGCATGGCTAAACAAACCTGAAGACAGACAGCCCTAAACCCCAAGCCCCAAACCCGCTCCTAACCCCCGCCCCAAACTTCCTCAACCCCAGAGTAGAGCATAGCGTACTTATTATCGTACCTACTCTTGCATGGTACATCACGGCACCTGATTCTCTTCTGGTATATGAATACTGTAGTACATTCTTCTCTTGTAGCATCTCATAGAATAAATTCCCAAAGTTTCACACCCCCTAAGCCTTAAACTCTAGGCCCTAAACCCGAAGCCCCCTAAGCCCTAAGCCCTAAACCCTAAACCCTAAGCCCCCCCCCCGGTCCAGGAGCAGATTCCCTTGCATCTTCAAGTTGTTGGGCATCCTCGGGCGGCCAGGAACTGCTGAGGGTATGGGAGCTTAAGGTTCAGGGTTTGGGGTTGGGAATTTGGGGGTTTGGGGTTTAGGGTTGAGGGGATTAGGGCCTTAGGCTTCGGATGATGGAAATTTGCTGCAATTTTTCACGCCACAGCCGTCTTTGTGTTCCAGGTTTGAAACGGGCTCCCCATTGCGACTTCATCAGGTTGTATCACAGACTTGTGCATGTCGGCAGCAATGCCGGCGATGCAGTTTCTCGATCCCCTCGCCCTGCTGCCCCCGCTGTCCTCGGAAACCCGGGGAGCCCAATACCCCTTAATTAAGGAATATGGCTTAAATTATTTAGGGCTTCATATTATGGTTTAGGCTTTATTCCTTATGTAAGGGGTATTGGGCTCTCTGGGAAGCTATCGTGCATGGCATGACTTCAACATGTTGACATTGGATTTCGGGAGCTCATCCGGATTCGCAGCCATCTGCCTCGTACCAGAGAGGCCGAACAGAGGAGGCACATTCCCACCGAAATCCTAAACCCTTATCCCTAAGGGCTTCCCCTGAGCTCTCCGACTACCTTGCTTCTTGCGCCCCAGGGCTCCAAGTGATCTCCGTAAGGGTGTTCCAGAACATCTCCTTGTGCAGCCGCATGCGGGTCTTCTCTGGAAGATCCTGGGACGAAGGGTCTGGCTTTGGGTTTCAAGTTTAGGGTCCACGGTCTGGAGGGTTTAGGGTTTAGGGTAGGGTTTAGGGTTTAGGGGTTTAGGCTTTAGGGTTTAGGGTTTAGTGTAGGCTTCTCGGTCTGTGGGATGTAGCTCTATTGGTCGTAGGAGAACGTAGCCTGAAGCTCCTGGGCCCTGGCGCTCTCGAGCCCCAAAGGCACCATAATGTTTCACAATAGGAATCCACTGTTCCTGGAAGCCTTGAACCCACTCACCTCCTGAACCGCTCGAATCCGGAAGCTTGAGGCCAAGGCTGGGATCAGAAGAGGAACCTCAACGGCCCTTCGGCTTTCTGGCGTAGGACATGTCCGGCTTTTAGGAATAATGGATTTCTCAAAACCAGGGATGCCTTTTCCATACAGTGGTCCTGTCGGCATGGATCCTACTATGCAGAGTCGATCTTTGGACCCCTTGAGCACTAATCCCAAAACCCTAAGGCCCTAAACCCCAAACCATACATACTATGAAGTAGTTTGAGTATCATAAGAACACCACAATATGCTACAAAACACGAGGATGCACTCTGATCCACTGGTATCATGTTATAACATACTGTGATCAACTAACAAAAGCCTAATACATAACATAATGTAGCATACTATATGATACTGAAAACTATATGATGGACTACTATACACTATGATACACTGTAATCTAGTATAAACTACTATATGATAACATACTAGAATGTACTGTAATCTACTGTGCATAATACAAGCGAGCGCCCCGAAACATACCGCGAGACAGCTATACATGAGTGTTTGTCAAAATTATGGGCCTATTTTTGGGTCCTTATTATAATACGGCACCTAATACTTAGGGTACCCAAAAAGGGGCCATCATTTTGACAACCACCCATATGATACTGTTGATGATAATATAAATCCTGCATAACCTTAAGGACCCTAAACCATGGGATTTATGGTATATTCCTTATTATGGGTAATGCAGGAATTATGTCATCAACCGTAGTTCTCCCCAAGGTGCGTGGAGCATGTGCAGGTCGGTCTCCACCAGTCGGTAGGAGGACGTGCCCTTCTTCGTGTAGCACTGCCTCACCATCGCAGGGGTTTAGGGTTTTGTAGATTGAAGGCTTAGAGATTTAGGGCTTAGGGTTTAGGATTTCATAGATTAGTTCAATTAAGTAAATTAATTCAATTAACTCAAATAAAAGAACTACAACAATTAAATATCAATTAAAGGTTTAGAGATTCAGGGCCTAGGGCCAACATAGGTGGGCTTGAATTAAAGGTTTATAGTTCGGGGCTTAGGTTTAGGGCGTTTAGGGCTTGGGGCTTATGGTTTTACGGCTTAGGCTTTTGACATTGGTTTTAGGGTTTAGGGTTTAGGGTTTAGGGTTTAGGGTTTAGGGTTTAGGGTTGAGTGATTCGGGTTCCCTATGCACACGCAGCACAACTCCAAGCAAGTCAATCAAGTCCGTGCTTGCTGCTGTGGAATTCGAAGGAGCTGCTGGCTACCCATCGAGTGTGGAGTAAGGACCCTAAACCCAAAACTCAAAACCCGACACCCTACACCCTAAACCCTGAACCCTGAACCCTAAACCCTGAACCCTGAACCCTGAACCCTAAACCCTAAACCCTGAACCCTGAACCCTAAACCCTAAACCCTGAAAACTAAACCCTCAACCCTAAACCCTGAACCCTAAACCCTAAACCCTGAACCCTGAAAACTAAACCCTGAACCCTGAACCCTAAACCCTGAACCCTAAACCCTGAAAACTAAACCCTCAACCCTAAACCCTAAACCCTAAACCCTGAACCCTGAAAACTAAACCCTTAACCCTAAACCCTGAACCCTGAAAACTAAACCCTAAACCCTAAACCCTGAACCCTGAAAACTAAACCCTAAACCCTGAACCCCAAACCTGGAACCTTGAGCCGGAAATCCCTTGACCCACAGGACTTTCAGGCTCCAGGGCTTGCGACTTCGAGTTTCGGGGTTTGGGGCTCCGAATGTTGGTTTTTAAAGGGGACTCCAGAAAGTTGGAATATGGTTTCAGGGTAGGATACCCTATAATCTACCATAAAGGGGTTAGGATAATCATATTCCAACTTTCTGGCTTTTACGTTAGATGGTTTCATCAGCTTTTCTATGGGTAGTTGTCAAAATTATGGTCCCTTTTTGGGGTGCCCTTCATATTAGGTGCCGTAGTAGACTAAGGACACAAAAAGGGGCCATAATTTTGACAACTACCCGTCTGAGGTTGCGTGAAAGAGGCCAAGTTTCTTTTTGGAACGGGGGTTCACGGCTTTGCGGCTGAGGTTTTGGGCCGTGCAAGGCTTTGAAGGTTTATATTGGGATCCTGTGTTCCGTGATCTCGGCCATTCCGATGCTAGAGCTCTACAGCTGAAACCTAAACCCTAGAACCTGATGACGATTTAGCTCTTAGGCTTTAGAACCAATTTCGGGTTATCCCCAAGTACAGCCTAAGCTACAGCTACAGCTGGGTCGTAGTTTTTGGGCCCTTACAAGTATTTATGAATAGGTACCTCTACTTGGCGCCATAAAGGAAATTACAAGTGCCGCTCAGGCAGCTATGCAAGCCCCTAGTCCGTGAAAACCCTGCAACATTGCAACCCCAAGGCATCAACCCTCAACCCTTTACCCGCCGAACCAAATAACAGAAGCCCAACTCCAAATAAAGACTAAACGGCAACGAAACTAAACCCTATAGCTCAAAACAAAAGCAAAACCCGGAACCCCAAACCAAAATCATCCAAACACGAAAGCACGGAAGACGCAAATTACAACGTGAGCAAGGATTCAGGATTATTTGTTCCTTGTGGCTGAACGTTTTAGGGCTACGGCTTCGTGTGCTGAGTCTACAGTTTTGGCGTTAATCGTTCGCTATTACTTTTACGAACCGCCTCGCCCAAGGCCTTGAAAACCAGACCCCCAACACCCGGCAACGCAAAACCATTAGAATGGCTGTGTGAAGATCACAGGGATATAATGACCAATTGGTGGTATTCACTCTAGATTGGCCCCTGGGCCAGTCCCTAAACGCTAAACCCCAGCGCCTGACATGCGTCAAGAGCTCGGCAGAGAGATCCCTTTCAGTAAAGAACCTGTGGTTTGATAAACAAGGGCCTCGGGTGTAGGGGTTTAAGGCTTAGGGTTTAGGGGTTCTGTGGATTGGGTTTAAGGCTTTGGGTTTGGGTTTACAGGTTTAGGGCTTGCGGACCTTGTAGCCCTGAACCCCAAATCCTAATCCTAAACTCTGAATCTAAAAGCAAACCCTAAGTTTCGGGCTCGTGAACATCGGGCTCCCTAAGCTCAGGGATGTAGGATCGAAAGCTGCTCGAGGATAAAGGCTTGGGGTTTGGGGCTGTTGGGATCAGGGTTTCGGGTTTAGGGCTCTAGGTAAAGGTTGCGTGCAAGCTCGTCAGCATCGGTGTGCTATGCGATGAGCATCCAGCGAAGTCTCCAATCCACTGACCAAGCCAGCAAAAACCCTTTCTAACGCCCGATGAAATCCGACAGGGCCCCATCTTGAAGACTTCTAGAGGCCCTCTTTGGAAAGAATCCCTAAATCCCCAAACCCTCAGCCGACAGCCCAACAGGCCCCTCACGCGCCTGAACCCTCAACCAGACTTAGGGGTTTCTCGGTCTTGGCAAAAAAAAGGGTTGTCAGCACCTTAGTTTAGGTTCCTGAGTAGTAGACCCTTTATAATAGAGTCCGGGGGGCTGTGGGAGTCCCCCGCTCTGTTATAATAAGGGTACCCTTTTCCCTACTATTCGGTTTTGGTGAGGGGACCCAAAAACAGAAAGAGCAAAAGGTACTACAGTACTCAGGAACCCAGTAGTTGGGATTCTAAGTGAGTATAGCTATATGCACCTTCTTCGAAACCCTACTTATCCCTACTTACTGGTCTTTCTGCTTCGTAAAGTCACCGATATCCCCCAAGCTTTTGAAGAGTCCTTATAGCAGCCTTACAGAACCCTTACAGAAGCCGCAGGTATCCTTCAGGCACGCTAGGAAGCCCTAAATCCTCAACCCCAAACCTTACAGAACACTAAGTCTCGTTTCAGTCCTCAAGGATTACCCATAGGCCCCATAGTAGTTCCTTTTTGGGATTACCTTATACGAATTCTAGATATGAACCCCTAAAAGGAACTACTATGGGGCCTTTGGGTAGACCCGAAACCCCCAAACTCTACAGAGACCCTTGTGCCAGCAGAACCCCACAATCTCCTTTCAGTGCACCTTCAGAGACCCCGTGAGCTCAAGGAACCCTTAAAGGGAACCCTACTATAGAACCCTAGAGCACCCTTAAAGGGAACCCTATTGTAGCACCTTGAAGTTCCCTTAAAGGGAACCCCATTACAGAACCCCGTAGTAGATGCTTAGTACGTCACCCTTAAAGGAAGCCCTATTAAAGCACCCTATAGTACCCTTAAGGGGAACCCCTCAAAGGAACCCCGTAGTAGATACTTAGTATCCCTATTAAAGCACCCGTTTGTACCCTTAGGAACCCGGTCTCCTCTCAGCTCATGTCAAGTCGCTGTCGGATCTGAGCTTCTGCCCTGGCCTTCGACTCCTCAAAATGCTGCGTGGGTTCGGGCTGCGGGCTCAGGGTTTAGGGATGTAGGGTTTAGGGTTTAGGGGTTTAGGGCTTTAGGGATGTGGGTTTAGGGGTTTAAGGGTTTAGGGTTTAGGGGTTTAGGGCTTTAGGGATGTAGGGTTTAGGGGTTTAGGGTTTAGGGGTTTAGGGGTTTAGGGTTTAGGGATGTGGGTTTAGGGGTTTAGGGGTTTAGGGTTTAGGGCTTTAGGGATGTAGGGTTTAGGGTTTAGGGGTTTAGGGGTTAGGGATGTAGGGTTTAGGGGTTTAGGGGTTTAGGGTTGAGGGGTTAAATTAGGGCTTAGGGCTAAAGGTTTTGGGCTCGGGGCTCTGCTTTCCTTCTTATGGTAACTTACAATTTCTGTAGCAAGACGAAGCCCAAAACCTAAACTCCAACCCCTTCTAGACTTGCAGGGTTCCCTCTACCGTAACCCCTAAACCCCAACGTAACGGGCCGTCCTTCACTGCTCTAAGAGCAGTCACAGCCGTCGTAATCGAGCTGACGAAGGAGGAGAAGATGGCCAAGGCCACGATGACCACAAACTTAGAATCATCAGAGTAATGAAGGGGCATGAATTCAGATGGGGTTTTAGGGGTTCCTTATTGTAATATAGTATAATATACCCCGTATGTTCTGGGGCTTGGGGTTTGGGTTTAGGGTGCAGAGTTTTCGGGTGTGGGTTTTTAGTAAGGGCTTCGGATTCACGGGCTTGGTGTTTACGGTCTACTGTGAGGTTGAGGGCGCGGGGTGATTGTCTGGAAGTGCAGGGCCGGGGCTAGGTTTCAGGCTTCGCGGTCCAGTGAGGCTTCAGGGTTGAGGGCTTCCAGCGAAATTTACAGAGAGCTTGCCGCTTTCAGGCGAGAGGCCTCAAATTTTAGGGCTTTGGGTTCCAGGGCTTCGGGTTTCTGGCTTTGGCGTGCAGGCTCGCGGGTTTCGGTCCCCTTCCTGAGGTGACGATGCAAACTCCTCTATTAATATGAGGAACCCTCGTTTAAAGCACAGGGGGGAGACGCTGGATTTAAGTTTTTATAGCTCAAGGATGCTACAAATTTGGGGTCCTGATGATCATCACTGGATTTCAGGCTCAGGGTTCGGCACATTAAGGCTTCTAGGCTCAACCTTGCACACAGAGCTCACGTCAGGATTTCTGTCTGCAACCACTTTTTTGTCTGGGTTGTAGTTTCGGGGCTCTGAAAAGTATTTATGAATAGGTACCTCTACAGGAACCATAAGGGAAATTAAAAAGTTTCCCAAACTGCCACCTAGTTGTTCTTTTGGGCTCAGGGAGCCGAGCGAATCCCTGACACGGTGACGGAGCAGATGCCACGAACCCTAATTACCAAACGTGCAGCCCCCCCCCCCACCCCCACCCCCCCACCCCCCCCCAAAAAAAAAAACTAAACCATAAACCCTCCAAGGCGCAATGGCAAACACGCGCTCGTCGCCAGAAACCGGCCCAATGTTGTTGGTCGCCGGCATAAACTGCGTGAGAGACCTGGGAGGCTGATCACCCTCCCCGCTTTCATACACCGTCACGAAACGGTTGAGGGTTTAGGGATCCTGATCAGGCACTTCACGCCAAATCTACAAACAAAGGTAGCTGCAAATCTACAAAGGTAGCTGTGAAAACGAAGGGTCTTTGCCCCGGGTTGTCTCTCTTTGCACTGCTGCTCTTTGGAAAGGGCACCAGAATCTCCAGGGTTGTTGGCAGACAACTGCGTTTACGGCCTATGCCCAAAGATCTCAAGGGTTGAGGGCCTGAAATGCTAAACATGAAAGCCTGAATATGAAAACTCTGAGAGACCCTCAGCCCTGAACCACCGGAGTTCATATGAGACAAGAGACCAGTGCAGGCTCGTCAGGTACTGATCCCAGAATGAGGTTTCGGTCAGCTCCTTGTGATGCAAAAGGAAGGTGAGCACTGTGCTTTTGGAGTTTAGGACTCAGGACTTGGGTTCAGGACATAGGGCTGCTTCAGCACTCCTATAAGTTACAGGAAGATTATGATTCGAGTTGCTTCGTGACCGAAAGATGTATGATGCAACAGCCATCAGGAAGGCAAGCACACTGCTGAGTTTGATGGGTTAACCAAGATGAAAAATGGTTCCAATGAAGGCAATGCCGAAAACTGAAGACGAATGATCGCGGAGCTGACGATGAGTAGCATGGTGACAACGGGCATGCTGGTGGTCAAAATCCTCATCATCATCATCAACAACAACGATGATGAAGATGATGATGATGATGATGATGATGCCGGTGAGGATGATGATGATGATGATGAATCTTGACTGTTGTGATGGTGGCCCGAGCCATCCTCATCACTTCGTCCAGTACTACATCATGTTGCCAAAGCGAAGACGACATCCTCTAAGCCTCCTGTGACTCGGTGTCAGGATCCGTTCAAGTTTAGGGGCATTTTGTCCTGGGCTTTCGGACATAAAACCTGCGGAGCTTTGGGACCATGGGGTGCGCCTGCCGGCCTGCCGGCACAGCAAGCCAACTGAAAACTTTAGACGTCAGGGCTCTAGGGCTTTCAATATGGTTTGCGCTCATGACTCATCAGACAACCGTAATCCCTTAGCCCCAAATCCGGCAAAAGGGGATGTGAATACGGATCCTTGAGAGGGACACTGATTCCAGACTGCAGCTGAGAGGCGTAGAACCGAATCCAGTTGGATGTCCCTGACTCCTGAAGAGTGATTGGGATCGGCGGCCTGGTGTTGATGCAGCTGTAGCATGGCAGATGACACGATTTTCTGAATTCCTGCAAAAGGAGCAAAGCATAAAAAGACATAAATCACCAGAAGTTCTCGCTATGCGAGACTTGCAGGTAAAGCACCGGGAGAAAGAGAAGAGATGCAGGCGTAGCAGCGGGAGACTCGAAAAAAGTCATCGGAGGTTGACGATTCGGGCTCCTTGCGACAAGAGTGAACCTCAAGCTCTTGCGTCCTGGTGCGCGAGCCCGATAGCCACGAAGGCGATCGCAAGGTAGTGGTTCACCATTAGGATCAGCACCCTGGTTTGGGAATTCGGAATCAGGACTTGTGGTTTCGGGGATCAGGATCAGCACCCTTGCCTGAGAATCCGGAGTATGTTGCGCCGTTTTGGTTTATTGGTTTGGGCCGGCCGGAGAAGAGCCCACACTCATCAGGCAAACTGCAATGCCTCTGTTGAACGTATTGTTGTGCCCAAGATCTCCACGAAACAGCATGGGAAGCTGAACAAAACTTGAATGGATCCTCAGCACAGAATCTTGCCCTTCACAGGGTTCCGCAGATTCTGGAATCCGCTTTGAGGGCTCTAGTCTTTTAAAGGGGAGTACTTCTCAGGCCCTAGGCCCTTAGACTAAAGTGCTTCGGATCTTGAGCAGCGGTTCCCTGTGCGATTGCGATGACTGTCGCCCAGCCGCAAGCCATTCGCGATCTTCATGAGCAGCCACAGCAACCTGACACCAAGCATTTTCGAATCCGCACAGTCCGAAATTGCAATCTTGGGCCTTTCGGAACAGAATGACCGACATCACTACAACGAGGCTTGGCCCAGGCTTGCCCCTTGTCGATGTGTAGAAGCTGTAAAGGACAGTGACGGATGAATAGCTCGGATTGCTGAGATCATACCAGACAGGTACCTTAAGCCGAAGCCTCTAAACCGTAAACCCCTCAAAACAAATTGGGGATTTTGCCAAGCCACGGGGACTTGACGTGACGGTAGAAGATCTCAGCCGCTGTTGCCACCTTCCAATTTTCTGGCTGAGGGTGAAGGGCTTAGAGTCTTGCGGATCAAAGGTAAGGGGCTTGGGAGTAGAATGTCGTGCCCTACTGAGAGTAGAATGTGGTGCCATATACTTTATGAGAGGGCTGAATGTGAAGGATTCAGGGTTTAAGATGACGAATGCACAGAAGACTTGCAGTTGAAGGAGAGCAACGGCGTCGTAAAAATAGTAGAAGCTGAAAAAGACCCTGTCTGCAACTGGGCATAACGATACCGTAGTGTAGATGTTTCTATCATGCAGTGCTACACAGTGGTGCATTCATCGTCGATATTTCAGCGCAGCCATACAGCAAGAGCAGAGTAACGGACTAGCAACATATGTACTACAACAGAGAACCTACACTGAAGATGAGAACCACAATGATACAACACCGTAGCAATGCAGCTCTGCATCAGGAATCTCACGTTGGGATAAGCTGTAACAGCACAAGAACACGTTGAAGCAGTACTGCAACATAGAGAAAAGCCGTTGCATTTTTCCATGGTAGAGTTGGCATGCAAAGGATTGCATCATGGATTTCATGACAAGGACATTCAAGGTGCAATTACACAAGCATCGAAAGCGATCGAATACATAGAAGTTACATGCCCTTTCGGTAGCGCATGAATGCTGAGTACTGTCGTTACTGTCGGAAAACGGTATGGACAGGCTAGCGGGACGAGGCAACATGAGATACGACAGCTACCCGAAAGGGTGACGGCAAGAGCGTCTTGGAGGGACCGGCAATAGAAATGCACCACAGGTTCAAAGCAGCAACTGCATGTGTGCGGATTGAGGCTTGCCTCGATACCTTTGCATCGGATAGGAAATATCGAGAGTTGTTCCAGAAGTCATTATATTCTGTTGATAACAGCAGCATTTTGCACATGAAAGTACTGATGCTGAGAAGTACTTCAGATGTGTTCACCCAGGTGTTTCATTCAAGGGTAGACTTAACCGGCCCAGTTAACCTAAATGAGTCGGAATTCTATACCTTGCGCTACGCGCTGCCTACCAACGACAAGGGTGCATACGGTTGAGGCAGCCTCTGCTTCTGCTTTTGCTTTTGCCTCTGCTTCTGCTTGTGCTTCTGATACATCCTCCTCGTCCTGGTCCTCCCCGCTTCCACGACTACTGCTACTGCTGCTGCTACTACTACTACTACTGCTACTACTCCTAGCACCACCACCACAACTGCTAACTCATGCCTCTCTCTTGTCTATTGGGCACACTGCCCAGAGCTTCCAACATGTTAGCCTTCGAGATGCGAAGCAGCCGGATAAATCGCAGGAAACGCAGCACCCGCAGCAGCCGCACATAGCCTCAACGTTCGTCCATGTGTGTCAACATGAGCTTTGCAAATTGGGGATGAGGAACCTTGTGACTTAGACGCTTCAGGAGGCTCCCTATGACACATAGTCGTAAACAGTAAACTCTATAAGACTAGACCCTGAACCCCACCGCGTACCCACGCTTTTCTGTAAACTCGGAGCACGGTTTGCGTTGTCAGTATCGAGGATCTGCAGTGGACCCTCGGGAGGCTCCGAGTTCAAAGGTTTGGGTTTAGAATTCTCGGATTAGGGGTCGTTGGAGCGAACTCTACACCCTTGACCATGAAACCATGAAACTAAACCTCGAGACCCTCTGACCATCAACCCTGAACCCTACAGCACAAACCTTAAATCCCAAACTTCCCCAAACCCAAAACCCCTGACAAAGAGCTGAGCGAGTCTGAAGAGTTCGCTGCCACCAGTTCGGTGACCTCGCGCGACTTTCCGGCAAGAGCGCTTAGCAATTCGGATGCTGTCCTCGTTGCAACCGTGCTTACACGGCCTAAGTGCCAAGCCCTCTGAGCTTCTGGGTCTGCATCCTCTGACCGATATAGTGTGGTGCGCGCGTAGATTCGAGTCTTCGCATTCTTACGCTTTGATTTGTGGTTTCTTTAGACTGCAAGCAAGACTTTCATTAGTAACGTTAGTCGTCAGTCTTGTTGCTTGTCCTTGTTTTGTGTGTGCTTCGGCTAGTGACGGCTAGTGTGCAGTGTTCAGGGCCAGGGGTAATCGTGCGTGGCGCTTCGGCGCCACGAGTGACAACAGGATCGACCTCACGAGATTGCAAATCGAAGCCTCCACACTCAAATGCGGGTTGTTTAGGGACCAATGAAAACCTCTTAAAGTCTCATAAACCCTATATCCCCAAACCCAAATCCAGCCCCAAAACCTAAGCCACACATACGAGCTTCCTAAGCTGGGGCTTCCCCTGAAGTAGCGATTGCACTAGTCGTCGATGATAACCCATTTTACCTCACAACCTCGAACCCTAAAGCCGAAAATCCTCAACACGCAACACCCCAAACAAACAAGCCTTTGAACCCCCAAACCGAGCCTTCAAGCCCACATCCACCAGGACCTGGCGGCTTTTCTCCGTTGGCCAAAGGATGATTATGAAGGTCCTACGGGGGTGCACGGTCCGGTTCCGCCGTGGCGGTCTGATCGGTGACCGGGGCCGGATAAATAGTAGAATATAGGGGACTGGACAAACAGGATAGGTTGTTTTGATTAGAATATCGTATGCTTGTGGTCAGAAGCAACCCTCAGGACTAGTATTGCTGAATCGTCAAGCCTCTACATTAAGGTCTAGAGGGTACACGATAACATAACTGGTCATACAGGGAACATGTGGGTTTCTTGTAATAACCCTAAACCCTAAACCCTAACCCTAAACCCTAAACCCTAAACCCTAAACCCTAGTTTTAGGCTCAGGCTCTCGGTTTCGAGCCTGGGGACCAGGCTTTGGGGCTCGACTTGGGCCTAGCTTTTATCCCTTAATTAAGGAAGACTCCTTAAATTAGAGTAGGATGCTTATTAAGGTTTAAGGTATATTCAGGCTTCGAGGACTGGGGTCAGTTTTTGCTAGTTCAGGGTTTTGGGTTTAGGGTTTTGAGTTAAGGGTTTAGGGTTTAGCCTCTGAAGATGGACAAACAGCAGAGCGAATTCGATGCGTTGAACCTAAACTTGCATCTCGGACTCTACCAGCATTTATCAACCGAAAGCCCTAAACGCCAAACCTCGCGCCCAAACACCCCCAAGACTCGAAAAAACACGGTGCCAAGCTCCTCTCAACCCAGGTTGTTTCGTGGGCTGGGAAGCTGTTCAGTTCGGTGTTCCGGGATGGCTGGGCTCAAAGCTGGGAGATTGAATCAAAGGGGTGAAGGAGGGACCCTTGATGGGGACCCCTACCCTATAATGGGCTATATAATGGGCTATATAATGGCTATATTAGCGGTATATTACCTAGGGGTCCGTATTAAGGGTCCCTCCGTTTCCCCTTGGATTGAATAGATACCACAGACAGATTCGTGGGAATCCACATGTGGTTGGCTGTAGCTGAGACCCCTGCAATGACCAGGTCGGGCAGGAACCAAGACTTCAGGTAATTGATAGCGATCCTCCCGCGCTCGGTTTGTGGCTTTGTGCTAGGACTTAACGTTTAGGGTTCGGTTGGGGTTTAGGATTTAGGTTTACTGCAAGCAAAGCACAGGGAGAGTGTGCAGTAACAAAGTCCCTCGTCATCGTCGTCACCATCATGGGACAGATTAGGATATTAACATGATGGTCGCTGACGCCGTCTTCACCATCATCACTACGGCTACTACCAGCCACTATCACCACCATCAGCATCATCGCCGCTAATAGCAGCAACACCAAAAACGCTGGCCACCTCAACAATGGATAAGCGGTACCGCAACCGAAGACCCGCAACTCTTTTGGGAAGAATGAGATTGGAATCAGAGCTGCAACAGAGCAGCACTACCAGCAGTCAGACTAATGATCCCAATACTGACATTAAGCAGAAGAACAACGATTATGACAACAACGAGAACAACCAAGAATGTATAAAAAGGGAGGTACAGTGCTGACAAGAGAAGTTGTAGCAGCAAGTGGTACGGATAGTAGTGGCAGTGACTACAGCAAGCAATGACGGCAGCAAGTAAAACAGTCATGCTGGCAACTGGTGGAAATTCTTCGTGCAATTGTTGTATCTGCTTGTAGTACCCGAGCACCAACAGGAATATGCAGTAGCATTGGGAATTCTAACGCCCGAAATTGGCAGAAATTCACTCGAAGGAACAGGCAGCGGCAAAAGCAACTCAGCAACTCAAATCCAATCCCTAAACTGGGTTCTTGTTAAAGGACCTATTTGTCAGTTACCATAGTAGGGATTTATAGTAGATAAGTTGGTTTCCTTCTAATGGTAACTTAAAATAAATACGTTAACAAGAACCCAGTAAACTATGAGCCCTTCTCCATAAGCCCCGAGCCTCTTGGGGCGGAACTCCAAGCCGTAGGGCATCTCCATGCCGGTCCTTGACTGCTTGCTTAGGGGTTTAGGGTTTAGGAATTTTTATTTCTGGCAGCACGCCAAGCAGTGTGGAACGTTGCTCTCGACCTGTGATACCGCAGTACAAGTGAGACTCAAGCGACAGCACCACAACTTCTACCCCCAACCCCCAACGCCCAGCAGCACGAAGTTCAAAAGCAGGTCGATGACCCAAAAGCCGAAGGAGGCATAGCCTTGTGATGGGAATCATGGGCTTTTGGGGATCCTGGGGTCTCCCCAAACCCTAAACCCTAGATCCCAGACTCCCTAAACCCCAAACTGCCGAGAGCAGCGCTACCTGCCCTTGCCCCCCTGCCCTGCCGTTTTTTGCCTGCCTTGCCCCGCACCCCGCCCCAGCTTGGCCCCGGGTTTTTTAGTTTAGTTTGTTAGTTTGGGCCTCCCCAACTCTGAACCGAAACCCGAAATCCTAAACCCTACACCCTCTACCCTAAACCCTTTATACCCTTTAAACTCTACACCATAGATCGTAAACCCTCTACCCCAAGCCCTAAACCCTGCACCCTAACCAAGGGGCTCATCATTTCGATCATGGCCTGCATGGCACTGCCAACCTCGAAGAGTGCCAGGGGCACTGTCAGAAGATCCCAGCAGATGAAGCCCACACCAAAGCAGGTCCTTGACGCTTTAAGGATTTAGGATTTAGGGTGTGCAGTCTAGGGTATAGTATAGAATTAATGTTTAGTTAGGGTTCAGGATGTACGGCTTAGGGACTTGGGGTATAGAAGCCCCTGCCAAAGCAGGTCCGTGTCGAGTACTACAAGGGCTGGGTCCGACCCTCCATAAAAGACCCTCATATAGGGGCATTATTGATCCGGACAGGGCTGTGAGGTATATGCTATCACTACACAGGCTCAATGTTTCAAGGGGCGACTTATGACAGTTATGAACAAACCAGTACCTGAACCATTTGCTCCTGCCTTAAATGTGCTGGCAAAGTGCACTCTCGCGAGGACCGTCTACTTCCAGCTCAGGAAGTGAATCCAGGCTATAATAATATGGAAAGGGTATCATGCACTAAGCCACTTTATACCTCAGAATGGCACTTACAGTGGATGATATAACTCCTGCATTACCTTACGGACCCTAAACTGTGGGAATTATGGTAAATCCCTTATTACGGGTAATGCAGGATCTATATCATCAACAGTAGGAAATCAGATTTACGGGTCGGAAAAGGGGTCAGCAAAGGGGGCGATCTCCTTTCTCAGCCTCAGGCCTGCAAAAATTAGCCGCAAAGCCACATCTGAAAACTTGTAGTCATGAGCCCCAAAAGAGTTTTGACAATTATGTAGGCGCCTACAGTACTCAGTACACCCTTCCGGACCCCCTTTTTCGCGGCCCTAAACCTCAGACCCGAAACCTTACACACACCCTCAACTCGAAACCTTACACACACCCTCAACCGGAAGTCGAAACCCCTAAACCTCAAACCCGAAACAATAAACCCTGAACCCAAAAACATGCACCCGACCTTTCTTTTGCGCCGAGCTTCCAGATTGCCTTGAAGGCGGTGTCCGGGTGCATGATGAAGGGCTGCATGCAGGATCGGCCGTCCTCGGCTAGTATGCTACAGCGAAGAAAGGACCATAAGAGTAAGACGATACTGACCATAGTAGTAGTAAGGAGACAATGGCAACTTATTCTGCCTGCCTTGAAAGAAACGGAAGTTGACTCAGATGTCAGAAGGCAGAGATATTATGTCAGGAGCGCCCGCTCTCTGAGCCTTGACATCAACCCCCGAAATCCCCAACACCGGAAACTCTTAAGTCCCCCCCCAAGCCCCTGTAGGGTTTGGGGTTTGGGTTCAGGGGTTCAGGGTACTAGGGTTTAGGGATAAAGATCCGAAGAACCTCCCACAATCCCAGGAAGGACTGCCAAAGGGTCTATCAGCCTGGTGTTGACTCGCATGGCCTCCTCCTTCGCAGGAGCATGTGGGAGTTTCCGATAATTAGGGGGTACCAACTATGGGGGTCCTTATAATAAGGACCCTACTATTTAAGGTACTATATGAGGGTCCCTAATTTTCGGAAACTCCCATGTCATCTCCCGAAGGGCTCGCGGTTTCAGGCCGCTCATGGAGACTCGGAGGATTCGGGGCGTTTAGGGTTTAGGGTTTAGGGTCGTAGGGATTCAGGTGTGGAGATTTGTTGGGGGGGTTGGGCCTTGAAGTTACGATTCAGGCTTTGAGGCTTGCGGCTCAGAGGGTGGCGGAGATTCAAGGCTTGAGTCTACGATTCAGGGTTGTCTGGGTTCTGGTTTAGGAATTTGATTCAAGTTACCATCTATTCGGATCTACAGTAAATACTATGGTTTCTTGATTATGGCAACTTAAGCAAAATTCCAAGACAAGAACCCGGTTGTTGGTTCGGCTGGGCAGCCAAATCACATAAACAGAAGCCCTGAAACCATCTAAAACCCAAAAACCTGTAACCCTAAATTTACTAAACCCTCAAAAGATCACAACCCCACAACAAAAAAAAGCACCCAAACCCCTTGAAGCCCTAAAACCACCCAAAACCTCCAAAGTTTCCACCGCCTTCAGCACGGAGTTGCAGCGCAGCACGTCGCGTGTGACGCCTTCGACATCCGGCTCGCAGTTGGACCACTGGTCGTAGACCTGGTTTGGGGTTTCGGCTTTAGGTTTTAGTTTTAGGGTTTAAGGTTTTTGGGTTCAGGGTTTTAAGATTTTAGGGTTTAGGCTTTTAGGGTTTTAGGGTTTTAGAGTTTAGGCTTTTAGGGTTTCAGGGTTTTAGGGTTTTAGGGTTTAGGCTTTAGGCTTTAGGGTTTAGGCTTTTGGGGTTTCAGGGTTCAGGGGTTTCGGGTTTAGGGCCTGTTCAGGGCCTTAGGGTTTTCCATGGTTTACCAGAAGGGTGACTGAAAGGGTTACGGGTTTAGGGTTTAGGGTTCAGGGGTTTAGGGTTTAGGGTTTAATAATACCTCAAACCGGTCGCTCCGGGCCTTCAAGGACAGGGCCTTGATCTCGTGCGGCTTGTCCTGCGGGTTCTCCAGGCCTTTGCAATTCGCCAAGGGGTTTGGAGTTCAAGGGGCGAAAGTTCAGGGGTTAGGGTTTGGGCCGTTTGGGATTTAGGGTTGAGGCTTTAGGGCTTTGGGTTTAGGGTGAAGGGCTTACGGTTTCAAGCTTAGGGTTTCGGGCTTCGGGTCTAGGAGTGTTTAGGGCTTCGGGCTGAGGATTGCGGGTCCCGGGTTCGGATGTCAGGCTTAGTGTGTGGATTCAGAGCTCAGGATTTGGGTTCAGGGTAAGGGGCTCAGGGTGTAACAGAGGGGCCTGAATAATTTCCAATACTATTTTTTTCGGGGGGGGGGGGGGTCCTTATTATGATTTAGTATTAATATACCACCAAACCCTATTCTAATTATTAAGGCCCCATTGGGGGGTTCCTTATTATGAATTTTTGTATTACTATACCCCGAAACCCTATTAACACTATTAAGGCCCCTATACGAATGCTCATAAAACTTGCCCAGGCGAGGTCGAGGCTGTATGACGGGCGACGTGTTGAGTTCGGCTCTACGATTGCACTCAGATACTTGGGGGGTGGCACTTCCTTTACTCACCGTTCTTTTAGGACTTGCCAGGACTGTCTGCGCATACTTCGCACATTCATTTTGGGCTGAAGGTTTAAAATTCGAAACTACTTGTCTTTGAAGTGTCTAGCTGGTGGCAACTGGGCCGCCAAATACCAGCTTGCCCCATCGCATCGTGGGCGTGAGCTCCTTCCGCAGCAGCAACGTTGGTTTCAGTGTGCGAAATCGCAAACTCTAAACTTTCCTAAACCAGAGCGCTAAGTTCCGCAGTTGCGAGATATTTGGGAGCTTTTTGAGATTGGAGTGCTTCAGCTGACAGCTGGCGCCACTGCTTCCCCTTTCGTGAAGGCACCGCAGTTTGGCGCGAAAGGTATCGATTCATTTATGATTGGCAACTCAGCCAGAGGCTCGTGGCACGAACACCGGAATCGTCGGCAGGCCGAAGTGTTCTTGTTTCAGCCGTTCCCTTATATGGAGATCTCCCGAAACCTTTGCACACGAAATTGCGATTTACTCGGCGTCGGTGTTTGCTCGAACGAATCCTCGGCGGAGCACACCGGGAAATATGCAACCCCGCAACGCAACAGCGCGACAGAACACAGATTGAGGCAGCAACAGGGGGGTTTCTTTTCCAACGGGTGTTGGGTGTGTCCATCGGACCTGTTGTGATCAACAGCAATGCCAACAGCAGCACGAGCAATACGACCAAGAACAAGAAGATGTGTTCAAGAACGTACAAACAACAAAGTTAATCCTCACCATCACCATCGCCAGCATCGTCAGCATCGTCGTCATCGTCGTCATCATCATCGTGATGACTGGAATACCAACGATCATGGTAGTAGTGAAGTTCCTAAAGTTACACTACAAATGCCCAAAGTAATAGAAGTACACAGATGATAATGAAAGTCGTGTCAACTTTAAAGTCGTGTCAACTTTATGAGACAAATGAACCTCGACCCTCAGCCAATCGCGACTAGTGCTATCCCCCCGTAGTCCCTATGTAGTTACATTATGTGTTAAGGGCCGTGTCGCAAACCCTAGACCCTGACTCATTCCTGAAGCCATCATCAAGCCATCTCGGTCCTGACCTACAACGCCTTGGTTCAGAGGTTTAAGATTTAGGGCTTTGGGTTTAGGGTTTAGGGCCTGCTTGAGACCGAGCGACCACTGCTGGGTGGAAACGCCCTGAAGCCACCGAACACAAACTTTTCCAAACCACATGCTTGCTAACGGCGCAGAGACAGAAAGAGAGAAAGAGAGAAAGAGAGAGAGAGCGAAAGAGAGAAAGAGAGAAAGAGAGAGAAGGGGGCAGAGGGTCGCACGATCTCCTTCGCATCCCGCTCCAGCAGGAAAGCACCAGCCATCGTCATGAACTCCGCAGGGATCTTGCCGATGAGGTTGCTGTGCTTCAGGCTTCCTGCCAGGATTCGGCTCGCTCCTTCCTTGGCCCAGCGGCCCAAGGAAAGGAGAAGCCCAGGGGTTTAGGGTTTAGGGTTTCCAAGGAAAGGAGATACCCGAAAACCTAGGAAGTCGACAGAAGGTTTAGGGTTTAGGGTGCAGGAGTACAGACACATGTCTGTCTGCATGGCAAGAGGGAGCAGACAGATGCATAGAGCAGAACGCAGACAGGAGCCATCACACATCCCTTCACCACAACAGCTAAACCTTGAACCCTAAACCCTAAACCCTAAACCTTAGACCCTAAACCCTAAACCCTAAACCTTAGACCCTAAACCCTAAAACCTAAACCCTAAAACCTAACATTGGAGAAGGCCCGGCCAGTTGCACCTCCACCACCCTCCGAGTCCGAATCGCCGCTCGCAGCCACAAGGGCCTGAACTGGCTCAGAGTTTTGGGATTTAAGATCGATTGGAATTGGACCTTGAAAAGAAGGTTTCGAAGTAGGATTATCATCGCTTTAGCTGCGGGTCAGGAGTAGTTCGAGCTACAATTTTCTTTCAACCGCCCATTACTAAGTCACTAAGTTCCCTAGAGCTCGACTTGTAGAGCCTCCTTGTGCTGGTTCGTAGCCACCGCCGCCGCGGCCACCACGTCGGTGAGGACGGGAGACGCATGGCCTGGTGTCGTCGACTTCTGTAAGGCTCAGCTTCGGCTGTGGAGGGCGGTAAAAGGACCCCTTAAAGGAACCCATAAAGGACCCCTTGAAGGAACCCCTTGAAGGACCCTGTAAAGGAACTTTTCAAGGAAGGAACCCTTAGGGTGCTATGTGGTCTCAGAACCAGGTTTCGGGACTATGGGCATCAGGCTTACCCGTGTGGCCAGGTTGCGTTGGACCTGTGAAATCTTGAGCGCTGGTCTGGTCCTGCCTGAACCGCGGAGGGGCTTTTCTCAGCGGCTCGGGCTCAAGGTTCGGCGTTACGGGTTTAGGATTCAGGGTTTAGCTTAGCGTTTAGGGTGTTGGGTTCAGGGTTGGGGGTTCAGGGTTCAGGGTTTAGGGTCGGAGGTTGTGGAGAGAAACAGGAGACGACTCGTCGAAACTGTTCGAAGCAGGATTTGGGGCTTTTGACCATCTTGAGGAGACAGCGGAGACTCCGAAGATCTACACCCAAAGCCGTATGTGCCAAAAACCAAGCCCTAGACCCCGTGAATTCCAAAGCGTGAAATCCCCCACAAAACCCGTTTGGCAACCAAAAAACCCCAACGAAGACCAGAGAAATTCCTGCAAGCCCCCTGCAGAATCCTGAACGTCCTGAACTCACAGCTGTGGATGAGGCCCCGACACTTCTCTAACGAGGCGCAGGAGAAGGCTTGTGCCCAACCTGTGCGGGAGGGAGTTAGGAATTTTGGGGGGGTGCAGAGTTTCAATTCTCCTGACGGTTTGACATATTAACTGATTTTTGTAACGCTTCAACACTGCTAGGACTTTCAAGGCTTTGGGTTTGTACTTGGTGGTCTAGGCCTATGCTTTGTAGCTTTCGTCGGTCTGTCTTTTTCCAACTCAACTCTGAAGACTCGGAGGGGTTCAAGCACAAGGAGGCTGAAAGAAAGAAGACCTCAACCTAAAAACGGACGCGTCTGGGTTTAGGGCTTAGGTTTGAGTTTGAGGCTCAGGATCCAGCGCCCGACGTCACCACACAATCTGCCTGTCCCATTGAAAGCCCACATGAAAGCCCACCAACACCCTGCACAAAACTGAATAGCCTCCTGCCGGATGAATTGAAACCTTGCAAAGCCCGATGAAAAGCCTAAACCCTGAACTCAAAATCCCTAAATCCGCAGACCCAGAATCCCTGAAACCGAACGGCCCTTCAATCCAGAAAGTCCAACCAAAAAACAAAAACAGAAACCCCAAACCCAAACCCTCGACGATCAACCCTACTAAACACCCTGAATCCCCAACCCCCCAAACCCGAAACCCTAAACCTATACGGCCCTACACCCGAAACCCTGAATCCCCAAACCCCAAACCCTAAACCCTATGCCCTCTACCCTCTACCGCAAACGCGAAACCCTGAATCCCCGGCTCGGGAGCTGAGTGTCACGCCGCTCCGGATCTCCACCCTAGGGGCAGAATGCCTCAGCCGTTTAGGCAGCCCGAAACCCGTTTTCGGAGGATCTCCAACCCTACTTAGGGTCGAAGCGATTTAGGATTTAGGGTCTAGGTTTAGGATTTGTTTGGGGCTTAGGGTCTTGGGTTTCTTAGCGCTTCGGGTCCAGGGTTTGGGATTTGGGGCTTGGAGTTGTTTGGGTTGATACTAGAACTATCTATACAAAATGCACGAATCTGTCTCATTGAACCCTGGGGCCTGTTTCAAAGGTTTCGGGCATAGGCACGAAACTCTCTGCATGTGCTGGCCGCGATGCGACGTCACAGCTACCTCCGCCTCATACTCCTCCAGCAAGGTCGCCTTCTTTTGCGTTCTTGTTAAGGAATCTAACTTAATACCATCATCAGGAAACCATAAGCTTTACAAAGATCCCAACTAAGGTAACTGAAAGTTCTTGTTTGTGTGGTAAAGGGTTATGGCTTTCTTTCGGGCTGAGGATTATGTAAGGCTCATGGCTCAAGACTTCGGCGAAGAAGGTACGCTCATGTCCGGGTTCACACCATACGGTACTTGCATGTATACATGTATATATGCACATATATACATGTCATATATATATATATATATGCATAAGTATACACACACACACACACACACACACTCAGCCTTTATGTGTGTATGTCTGCATATTTGTAGAAGCTTGTTTGTTCATCGATTTAGCTTACAAAATAGCTAGATAGTTAGTCAATTCGTCAGCTAGTCAGCTAGTCACTCCGTCAGTCAGTCAGTCAGTCAGTCAGTCAGTCAGTCAGTCAGTCAGTCAGTCAGTTAGGTAGTTGCTTAGATAGGTAGTCAGCTAAATCGCTAGCGCTAGCAAGTTAGCTAGCTAGCTAGTTAGCTACTGAGCTAGTTAGTTAGTTAGCTAGTTAGTTAGTTAGTTAGTTAGTTAGCTACGTAGCTAGCTAGCTAGTTATGTACTAATGAATGAAATCGCGCGAGCACGGCCCGGTTCGACAATGCGTTCGAAAGGCACGGGCTTCAGGTATTTAAGGTTTAGGATTAGGGTGCAGGTTAAGGGTGTAGGGCGTCGGAGGTAGTGGGATCACGACTTCGGGAACTGATATCGAACTTCCCGCCAGAAGACGGTAGAGAGTTTGGTATACTGTGCCTGAACGCCAAAAAAAACCAGACCCGGAACACTTCCAGACCCCAAAACCTCGAAGGCCAAACCCTCCGAACCTCAATCCAAGGTCATGAATTCTAAACCCCGAACCCAGAATCCTGAAACCTGAACAAGACACAGCTAAACCCCAGACCCTTCCACAAGCCCTGACTTAGGAGTCAGGGTTAGGGCACACTTGGGGATATAGACCCTCTCAACAAGGCCCCTTGCAAGAGAGCCAGAATAGGGTTAAGAGGGGTCCCCTTCAAGGACCCCTAAACCCCTAAACCCTAAACCGCAATACTTCCTAAACTCCAAACCCCTAAGCCCTAAACCCTCATACTTCCCAGGATCACCACCTTCAGCTGATCGATGTGGTGCTTCAGCTTCTCCCCAAAGCCCAGCGCAGGCTCGTGACCGACGGTTGCCATGGGAGGGAGCGGTTGGCTTTTAGGGGACAGCTTGGGAGTGGTTCAAAGGTTCTCAAAGGTTCAGGGTTTAGGGTTTAGGGTTTAGGGTTTAGGGAACAGGGTTTCGGCTGAGAGCTTGGAGTTTCTTTTGATATTTGGAAGGGTTTTGTAGGGTTCAGGGCTTTGGCGGTGTCCGGTGCTTTGCGGGTGAATGGTTTGGGACGCTCTGGGCTCCGGGGTTGAGGGTGTAGGGCTTAGGGCTTCGGGAGTTTAGGGTTCAGGGTTTGGTGTTTAAGGTTTAGGGCTTATAGGGGTTTAAACAGTAGAGGCTGCGAGCTTAGAGTTGTTGGGTCTGCGGCTTCGATTCGGGGTCAAGCGCTTCATGGCTACACGCTTTGGGACGTCTTGCTTCCAGGCTGTGTTGATGCTGTGGGGTGTGGGCTTCTGGCATGCTCTATTGAAATCTATTCCTACGTCTTTAGAGCCAATTGCGGACAGGCAAGATTCCCAAGCTGGAGCATCTTCAGACAGATGCTCCATGCACGACTTCCCGTTCCGTACAGTGCCTAAGACACGGAATGAACTTCTGCAGTGCAAACATCAGATTCCTGGCGCTGCACTCAGAAGCCCCTAAACCCCGAAACCCCTAAACACCCCAAAACCCTTCAAACCCCATGTCCCCTGAACCCCGTAAAAGTAGGTTTCTTAGGGCTCGGGTAAATGCTGAATCTTGAGATAACGTCGACTCTCGGCCTCATGTGCAATGCTGCGTTCACGGCGTCGCTCGCCGAGACCGCAGGTCTCGCTGCAGGCTGTCCTGCGCAAGGGGGGGACGGGGGGAGAGTGGGGTTTTGGGTTTCGGTTTAGGGTTTAGGGCTCAGGTGTAGGGCTGAAGGTGAGGGGTTTAGGGCCAAGGGTCTTGGGTTTGGTGGCCTTGATGGCTTGTTTAAAAGAAATCGACAATCAGTAGTGCTGTTCCTTCCGAAGCATGATGGGCCTAATATCCCAAACCCAAAAACTCGAAAGCAAACACCCCCGAAACGGAACCCCACAACACCACAATCTCAAAACCCTAGATGCTGTGGGTTTCAGGCCGGTGCACAGGCCACAGAAGCGTCAAAGATCCAGCCGAACCACAAGTACCATCATCATCATCGTCATCATCGTCATCAAAGTCATCATCATGATCACCATCATCATCATCGTCATCATCATTATCATACCTATAAAACTTCATCATCGCCACATCATCATCATCATCAACATCATCATCATCATCACAGTCCTCATCTTCCTTGGCAGCAGCAGCAGCAGCATCAGCACCACCACCACCTCCACCACCATCAGGATCGTCGTCGTCTTCCACCCTACCAAGTGTAGCATTGTTGAGTAGTACACTACTGATGAACAGCCAGGAACAGGGACCTAAAGAACGAGGTGAGCAGCCTGCATCCTTTTCGTCGTGGCTGCTCGCTCTGGCTCCCTGCCCCACCAGATGCACGCATCCGCCCCCCTTAGAAACCTACAGCATGAAATTTGGGCATGACGGGCCCCTCTTTGGTACCTGACATCCGGACTGTACGTTAACACGGGTGCAAGACAGCACCCTTGTTCACAAAGCCGTGGCACTTAGGCGTCAATTGGCTCAGGCTTCTTGGCCGTGCGCTTTCCCCGCTGCTTCCACTGACCAGTCGCCAGGAAGCCCTGGCGGTGTAACATACTTGGGTGGTTGTCAAAATTAGGGCCCCTTTTCGGGTACCCTAAATATTAGGTGCCGTATTATATTAAGGACCCAAAGAGGGACCATAATTTTGACAACCACCCACTTGGTTCTTGCTAAGGGGTTCAGAGTTGTTACGAAGCCTCCGAAGGTTGCGTATCTACTGAAGGGTTTTAGGGGTCGGGATTCGTTGCCAATCTTAGGGCAGTGAACGAGGCCCTTGTCGTCGGAGAGTTTGGACAAAGTATACCCAGAGTGAAGTCGAGATTTCTGTGGGGCTCTATGGCTGTTGTTGCTATGAACCCGCGCAAACTCTGTAATGTAGCCTCCTTGAGGCATGAGTGCTTCACTTGCAGACTTCACGGCTTGGGGAGCCTATGCCTAGTTTTGATTGAACGGACAAGATTGACCCGCATGCATGCAAACACTAAGCTGACCTACCATGTCCACAGTGTGGAAAACAGCCCATTGCATCAAGCCCATCGGTGCAACAGCACAGCACCATGCATGAGACTTTCTTAGCCGGGATATCTTCGTCATGTACTGAGCATCCTACTGGCGGGGGTCTACATCAGGATCCCACATTTTCGCAATCTCCATCATGGCTTCGTACTTCCAGCTACTGCTTGGCCTTGATGAATCCCGAAGAGAAATTCTCGGACACTGCATCAGATGCCGAAAATGCCACACAAGCAAAAAATCGCAGTCGCAGCGTGCCTTAACCGTGAATAACCTACCCTTTTAGGGTTCCTTATCATGACTTCCTTATATAAGTCCCTAAAAGAGTAGGCTATTCCGGGTTAAGGTGGGGTCTAGGGTGGGGTTTGGGGTCTGGTCTAAGATGATACCACACTTCTACCAAGTCCTGCAGAAATGACGCTAAACTCAGCGACTTCTAATGTGGGATCTTCAGCCAGCCAGATTGAAACCCCTCAAACCAACAAGACCGTGGATACAAAACTGTATAGATTCCAGGAGAAACTCATCAACCATAAACCCCAAGTGCTTTGGGTTTAGGGTTCAGGGTTTTGGGTTTAGCGACCCCTACACCCTGAACGCAGCTCTATCCTTTAAATGCCACAACCTTGCCCACCCTTTTGAACCCTCTGAAATCCGAGACCCGCAACTCCACATCTTGAATCCTAGAGCCCAGGCCTCCAAACCCTTCTGAACCCGCAACCCCCCAAACCCGAAAAAGCCTTCTAATGACCTTGTCGCGCCCGTATAATAACACAGAACCCTTGCAGTGACCCCGACCCGGATTTCTTCAAGGCCCCGACAAAAACAAGAACACTAAACCCTAAACCCACCGCCTAAACCCCAAACTCAAAACCCTCAACCCAAAATCCCTAAATCCCGAACTCTAAACCCTCAACCCAAAATCCCTAAATCCCAAACTCTAAACCCTCAACCCAAAATCCCTAAATCCCAAACTCTCAACCCTAAACCCCAAAAGAGGAAGTCCTCGCCTTCAGTGGGTTGAAGGTCGTGCGGTGCTCGGCGCAGGGACCCAGGCGCTGAAGGGCTGCCTCCAAGCTCTGCTGGGGTTTCTAAGTGAGTTAGGGGTTTAGGGTTTAGCCTTAGGGCTCTAGGGCTTTAGGGCCTCAGTGGGTTAGGTTTTTTTAGTTAGGGGTTTAGGGGTTTAGGGTTTAGGGGTTTAGGGGCTAAGGGTTTAGGGGTTTAGGGTTGAGGCTTAGGGCGTTAGGGGTTTAGGGGCCTAGGGGTTTAGGGGTTTAGGGGTTTAGGGGTTTAGGGTTTAGGCTTAGGGCTTTAAGGCTTTAGGGGGGGTTTAGGGGTTTAGGGGTTTAGGGGTTTAGGGTTCGTTAAGGGGTTTAGCGGTTTAGGGTTTTGGGGGTTAGGGTTTAGTGATTTAGGGTTAAGGTTGACGGTTGAGAGTTTGAGGTTTTGGCTTTGGGCTTAAGGGTTCACGACTGCCTGCGGGGGCTGGGGTTTGAAAGCTAAGGCATTGAAATTTAGTGGTCGCCTCTGATCTTTCAGGTCCTGCGGTGTAATCACTAATCTTTTCTTCTGTTGGCATGGCTGTCGATTTGATGGCAGCTTTTTGCTACTGACACTTGTTGGCTTGCCATGAAGATGCCTAGCAAGTACGACATGGGCTCTGGTCATGGCTGTTACCTTTGTCATTATTCTGCCATTTCTGCTCTTATTGGTATCGTTGCCAGCACTGTACCCAAACCCTGAACCCTAAATCCGAAAGCTTCCATCATTCCTCCTGAGTTTCAGGAAGCAAGGGGCCTCAATTTCAAGGACCTAAACAGCAGAATCCTGACAGTTACAACAGGGTTATAGCATCGCATCGTTGCTTTAAGGAGCCCTAAGGGCTATGTTGGGCTCTTTACATGAAGGATCCTCCTATCTTGGGTTCAAAACAAGGTCTCCAATTGTCTGAAGTCCGTAGCCGTAGATATTCCAAACCGAAAATGCGCTGAAAGTGCAGCCTTGACCACGAGCCACCCGAAAATCGCAACATACTAATAGGGGCAATCGCAACATACTAATAGGGGCCTTCATAATTAGAAGGAACCCCCAAAATACTCTTGGTAACTATTCAGGCCCCTATCTTACTAGAACTCGACCGCCATGCCCTGAGGTACAGTATTGGCCAGTGCCAAGGCCATCTTCATCCTTTCTGCAAATCCCAAAGGCTTGGGCTCGAGGGTTGTTAACTCTGGGAATCGGGTGACTCGACGGCATTGTGTACCTACCCAGTGGCACCAAAGTAGTTCCTTTTTGGGGTTCATATATAGAATCCTGTAAGGTAATCCCAAAAAGGAGGAACTACCATGCGGCCTCTGGGTAGAGGCATTTACCCTACCCCTTTTTTTAGGTTACCGACTTTTCTAAATAACGGATCTAGACTAAAGAACTAGCTACCTAAAAAAGGTGGGTAGGGTATGACCCTACATGTACTGGTTACGCAGGCTTCCATGTACTGGTTAATGTAGGAACCTGATGGAGAAACCCTGGGCCTATAACCCCAAAATGTAGTAGGGTTCACATAAGCCACAAACTCATAAAGCCCTGCGAGAGGAAGGAACAATTAAACCCTGCTCACACGCTAGGCGATATGGGGTTCGGAATGATAAGCATAAATAGTATAATATCCCCTTCTGCATAGCAACAGCATAACATACCGCCAAACTCTAGCTTAATACTACAGCCCCTATAGTACCACCTTCGCTGCCTGTGATCCCTAATATATCATAGTCGTCATAGCCGTTATAACTAGTACAATTACTACAATTACTACAATTTCTACAACTACTACAATTTCTACAATACTACAGTCATGATAACTGTTACAGTTTTGTAGCTCTAGTGATAAGTATATTGAAACCAACCTGCATTCGTAATAGTATTGACAGCAGCACGCTGGAGACGATGGCCTGGTGCGCGGCCGTGCCGTAGCCTCTGGTTCATGACACCCAAGTGCCAAGGCTTAGGGTTTAGGACGAATAGGGTTGAGGGCTTAGGTTGTGTCACCTTCTCCGTCTAAGACTCGTGGCATCAGACAGACACTGCCTAGCAGAGAGTTGAGGGCTTTGGGTTTAGGGTTTAAGGTTTAAGGCTGAGAGTTTAAGGTTGAAGCCCAAGTGCCAAGGCATGCAAACTCCTGTCGCGGGTTCAGGCTCATAGAGGGTTTTGGGTTTTGGGCTCAGCCTTTAGGGCTTAGGGTTTAAGGCTGAGGGTTTAAGGTTGAAGTCAGGGATCGGGCTTGGGGAACTGGGGATCGGATTTCAGGTTTCGGCTCTGACAACTTAGCCTGTATTCGTTTAGCCTTGCGGGATTCCGGTTTTAGTGTTTTTTTTTAGGGTTTAGGGTTTAGGGTTTAGGGTTTAGGGTTCCGGTTTTGTAAGCCTTACCTATAGTCTCCAGCGTAGTTCCTGTTTTTGGTTAGCCCATCTTTTCCTAGAACCCTAACCATGAACCTGCTTAAACCTTGTTTGGTAAGCCTTGTAAAAGTCAGGTAAAGCTCGATACTCTAAGCCTCAACATTAGGGTTCGGGGGATCTGGGGTCTCATGATATAGGGGCCTTCATAATCAGGAACATCCTCCGGGATACTCCCATCCTTCAAAAAACAGGAACAAGGGACAAAGGTGGATCTTAAAGGTCTAAGCTTCAGGTTGAGGGCTCGGGGAGCCCGTATACTGGGATCTTGGTACAGGTTTTAACTAAAGTATCCACAATACTGACTTAAGGTAAATGAAATGGTCTCCTTATTATGGTAACTTAAATTGAATTCCTTAAGAGGAGCCCAATATAGAAGCCTTGCGTGGGTTTGGCAGAGTTGAATAGAGAATGAGCTCCTGTCTCTAGGATGTAAAGAGCCATACATAAATACATGGGAATTTCAGAAACTGAGGGCTGCTGTCACAGGACCAGCGTTTAGTGGTTTGGGGAGGTTGGAGGCTGAATTAGGGTTTCGTGGTTTCGGGAGGCCGCTTAGCTTCAGCGTCCCTAAAACCTAAACCCCTAAACCCCTGACCCAAAGCCCTAAAGCCTAAACCCCCAACTCCTAGACCCTAAACCCCTAAACCCTAAACCCCTAACCCGAAACCCTTAGCAGGATGCCCCAAAACGATGATCTCCTTCTCTCAGAACGGGTGCCTTTGTGGCTGTCAAAGCCGTAGTCCGGAAACTTTTTGTGCAGCTCCCTCATGTGCCTGCAGGATTTAGGGTTTAGGTTTTGGGGTTCAGGGGTTTAGGGGTTTAGGGCTTAGGGTTTATAAGGTTTAGGGTTCAGGGGGTTTAAGGGGTTTAGGGCTTAGGGTTTACGGGTTTACAGTTCTCCTGGAGTGGCGAAGATACGATCCATCTTCGCAGATCTCAGCTCAAGGACCAAGGACAGGAACATGGGCAAGACTGGAATGGAATGGATAACAGAATGTAAACCAAACTACAAAGCAAAGAATGGAGTATACTGCATAGTATAGTATAGTATAGTATAGTACAGACGGTCCGCTCCTGTGCATGTGGATGGTTGCCCATGCTGATAAGCATGTTAATACGCGTCTACGAGTAGTCGTGTTCGCACCACTGCTTCCTACTCAATGTACTTCTATGGCAGATACCATTTCCATAACCCTAAACCCTAAACCCTAAACCCTAAACCCCTAAACCCTAAACCGTAAACCCTAAAACAGTATACAAGGATGGTTACGACTGCGGTCTTACTGTGTAACCTGCTAGTAGTATTGCAAATGTTAAGGGTACCGTGGTTGACATGGCTGCTGTTGGTGTAAAATACCGCTATTGCTGTCAACAATGCTGCTATTGCTACGACACTCCGTGCTTACTCATCTTCCTATGACTACTGAAGCAAGTGCATACGGTCACATTACCCATTTCTCGACGCTGCCGGTCTGCAAAGCGACTATGACGACGACGATAGGCGATGACCGGAAAACCCCGCTCCTGCTCCTGGTCTGCGCGTGCTACACTGAAGTGTGTAAAATCGCGGCTCTCCCGCTTTGTGTGCCCGGGGAGGTGCTCGTGGCGAAAAAGGCGCATCGCCATAAGACTTCGCAAATTCCGATCGCTTCCTGTGCGTCATTGGCCCAGCAGTAGCAGCAGCAGAAGTATGACAAGACTATAAAAACAAGAGTCAGACTTGCAGAAGAAGCACAGATTCAGACCAGCAAACAAGAGGCCCACTATGCACTAGACCCTGCAGCAGCGAAGGCCTGTCTCGCGTCACCTTGGCTAGAACCGATGCGGCCGCGATCTCAAAGCAGGTGCCTCGGAAGTAGGTCTGCAGGAGGAGAGACTTCGAGGGCTTCGGGCTCAGGGTCAGGGAGTTTATATGGCCAAAGGCCTGGAGGTTTAGGGTTCATAGGGTTAAGAACTGAGGGCCCAGGGTTCATGGTTCAGATGCAAAGCTACTCGAGGGCCTTGCGGCGACCGCCATTTGTAGAGTATTGCATAGCATGATTTTGAAAGGTTTAGAAAGGCCTAGAAGTCTGACCCGCGACCGTTTTCCGCAAACTGGATCCCGAAATCCTAAACCCTAAATCCGAACCCCTCAGCCACCCCCAATCCGAAAGAAGCGGAAGCTGATTTCGAGGCCTGGCTGTATCACCGCCCGAGCCCTTCGAGGCTTCCTACGATTCTGTAGGAAAAAAGAGCTCCTGCAATTGGAGCTTCCAGACGCAAAAAGCACCGCGCACGTACAGCAAGCAATCGAAACAGTTGAAGCTACAAGCTGAGAACGTCTGCCAGTACATGCCGCAAAATCCTCGCATCAGCGTGCCAGCATTTAGCCGCAGCAAACTTATCAGGAGCATTACAATAGGAGGGCGGCGAGCCTCATGTGCATCAGAGGTGAGCCTGTTTAACGTCTTTGGTCTCGACCCAAACTGCAAACAGCAGACGTGATTTTTGCAGACTTACTTCAAAGCAGCAAATCCAAATGCAGCGCAATATGCGCGATGGAACTGGGCCACACCTGCAGCCACTGTCCTGAACATCTTCTTCAGTTCCACTCTTCTCTGAAACATAATGCGCGAGCTGGAGAAACCATGGGAACCCACATGTACTCCACAGGGAACCGAGCTGACACACTGCAAGAGCCAAGGGAGCCCGCCCAGACCTTTGCGCAATATGTGCGGGGAAAACCACTTCAAATGCTGCAAAAAACCATGGAACCCAACAGAGAAGCCACCGTCGATACTGCTACAAACCATGGGAACCCACGTAAGAATGCTGCAAAAACCAGGGAACCCACAGGGAACCACCGTCCATGCTGCAAAAACCATGGGAATCCACAAGAAAGCTAAGTGAAGAACAGACACAGACCCACCCGAAATGCTGCAAAAAAACAAGGGAACCCATATGTAGCCCACCTGAAGTGTTGCACAAAATAAGCGAACCCACAGAGAACCCACCGTCGATACTGCCACAAAGCATGCGAACCCACTTAAAAATGCTGCAAAAACCAGGGAACCCACAGGGAACCCACCGTCCATGCTGCAAAAACCATGGGAATCTACAAGAAAGCTAAGTGAAGAACATACACAGACCCACCCGAAATATTGCAAAAAACACGGGAACCCATATGTAGCCCACCTGAAGCAAAAAACAAGGGAACCCACAGGGAACCCACCCCATCTGCTGCAAAAACCAAGGGAACCCACTTACACACCCTTTGGGTAGTATAACACTATTAGAACGGTGGAAGGTCCCAGACATGCCGGAGTCAATCAAACTCAGTTGGCAGCTGAGTATTATACCACCGGCTTTGTCCTAAGGGTGAAATCATTTGCCCGCCACCGCTGGGCTCGTTCAGGTTCCCTCGTCTGTATCCTCACACCCTGCAGCATACAATCTCGAATCAAACTGCGGCGGATCAGTAGAGTCTGCCTGTCCTAGCTTTCTGCAAGCGGACAGTTTCGGATCCAGATTTCCCATGCTGCGTGTTGCTCTACTTCAAAGACTACGGCGCTCAGCTTCGACCTTGCAACAGACTCAACATTTCGGAAGCACTTGCGAATGAGCATGATATGACGGGCTCACATTCGTGCATTCGTTGCTAGATGTCAACAAGAGCTTTGGCTGCCCACATGGACTACAGCAAGGCTCACTTACTCATCCTAAACCCTACACCGCAACGCAGCCACGTTTTGGTGGCCTTCAGAAAAAGAAGGCTGGGATTACGTCAAAGCAAGGCTTCGTCACTGACTAGCCGAAAAGTTTACAAGCTGCTCAGGCAGCAGTTTGGGCAATGCTCATACATTCACCGGCTCAGATGGCAGACCTCATTGCCAGATGGCAAACCCCACTCCGCAGCGTCATCGCTTTTAGTGCCGGGCTCAAAGCCCGCAAAACATTCGTGCCCTGCCTCAGACAAGGCTTGCACTTGCACACTCCTGAACCGAAAAGTTTAGTAACTGACGCAACAGTTCGGGTCACAACAAGACTCACACTCAACCGAAGACGAAGAAGTAGATATTACGCGCTGCAGGCAACCGTTCGTCACAGCAAAGCTCATTCACTCACACTCACTGACTCACGTACTAAAAGCTGGCAGAGCTTAGTCACTGCTCAACAGATACTCGCTGCTGGGGCAACAGTTCAACACCAGAGAGGCGACAGCAAAGCTCACTGACCGCTGATCACCCTCAGCGCCGGGCTCAATGCGCGTGCAAACATTCGTGCCATCGTGCGAGAAACGACAAGGCTTACTTACTGCGATTCAGAAAGCTGCCGTGCTACTGTCTTGGCCTGGGCAAGTTCAAACATCTACATTCTACGGGGCAGCAGACAAAACCATGCCTTGCGAAGTCTTCTTTGCTCTGCTTTCAGGATCTTAGCGACTCTGCACGCTTCTACCTAATCAAGACATCTTGTAGACACGCAGACAATACCACACCTTTGCATCCTGACGCTCCTGTCGCAAGCGGGCCAGACGGCGGACAAAGTCTCCTAGCAACAGGCCAGACGAGGAAGGACATTCATTTAAGAAGGACGTTCTACACTCCTGCGGCAACTCCACTCTTTGAGGGGGAGGAACAGGAGATGCTTCCACGTCGGACATCGTTGCAACACTTGGGCCAAAAGAGCGCTCGAATTACGGAGCCAATTCCGGAAGCTGTTCTCTAGGATGCTTGGAAGGGCCTCCTCTGTGTGAGAAAGTTCTGTTTGCAAGGTTCACCTGTTTCCGAGCGTTCCACTTGTTATTTTGAGTTTCGAAGGAACACCGGCAGAATGCAAAACAAAGCTGGCGACGTTTATATACTGTTGCACGCACCGGCCAGCTGTGTACGCAGATGTGGCATCTGCTCGACGAAAAAAAAGCATAACTGGGCCCCAGAAATGGCTCCCAAATCTGAGCTCTAATTTGGGGCCCCGAATTGCGTGAGCTTGTATGTCCAACGAAGAAAGCCAAAATCTGGGGCCCGTTTCGGTGCCCGGACTAGAGCTGCTTTTTGAAACCCGCTTCAGCTGGAAAACTGCACGGAAAAACAAAATTCGTTCCGCGTGCTGTTTAGATCAACGTCCAAGAAAGCCAGCATGCTGTGAAATGTGAGATACTTTTGGAAAACTTGCCAAACTTGCCATCGGCTGCCGTTTCAAGACAAGTGCTTCTGTTCTTGTTCGTACAAGATAATTCCCGCACAGGGGAGGCCCTTCGAGGCTTCCTACGATTCTGTAGGAAAAAAGAGCTCCTGCAAGTGGAGCTTCCCAGCGCAAAAACAGCCCACGTACAGCAAGCAATCGAAACAGTTGAAGCTACAAGCTGAGATTAACATCTGCCAGTAGATGCCGCAAAATCCTCGCATCAGCGTGCCAGCATTTAGCCGCAGCAAACTTATCAAGAGCATTACCACAGGAGGGCGGCGAGCCTCATGTGCATCAGAGGTGAGCCTGTTTAACGTCTTTGGTCTCGACCCAAACTGCAGATAGCAGACGTGCTTTTTGCAGCCTTACTTCAAAGCAGCAAATCCAAATGCAGCGCAAGATGTGCGATGGAACTGGGCCACACCTGCAGCCACTGTCCTGAACATCTTCTTCAGTTCCACTCTTCTCTGAAACATAATGCGCGAGCTGGAGAAACCATGGGAACCCACATGTACCCCACAGGGAACCGAGCTGACACACTGCAAGAGCCAAGGGAGCCCGCCCAGACCTTTGCGCAATATGTGCTGGGAAAACCACTTCAAATGCTGAAAAAAACCATGGAACCCAACAGAGAAGCCACCGTCGATACTGCTACAAACCATGGGAACCCACGTAAGAATGCTGCAAAAACCAGGGAACCCACAGGGAACCCACCGTCCATGCTGCAAAAACCATGGGAATCCACAAGAAAGCTAAGCAAAGAACAGACACAGACCCACCCGAAATGCTGCAAAAAAA